AATGCGCAACTGTTTTCAATTGATTTTCATCCTTTAACTGTCATAGTTTATGAGATATTTTGATAACAAGGTCAAAGTTATTTTACAAAATAACAACAATTTCACTTTTGGGTTTCCTTAGCAACCACCCTAGGTGTGGATGCAAAAGTGTGTAATTAGTGCAAAATGCCCATAATTAGCCTTCTTGAATGCAATGAAAATTCCCTTATTTTAATCAGTGTTGCCACCATTAGAATTATTTTATATCTTTTATCTAACTAATTAAATCTTATATTTTAATGAACAAATGTTACAATATTCCTCAAGATTGATATGAGTGCATGATAACTGCCTAAAAATCGTAGCTTTTCTACCTTAAAAAATGCAATTTAGAGCCAAAATCCAAGGGGACCCGTAACCATTGCAACGGGGACACAAACAAACTTTTTGTCAATATATTTCTTACATGTTTGTCAATAGCTACCAACAAACAAAATTTCAAGGAAATCGGAGAATATGCGTGCCGCAACTTAGTTGGTGGTTACAGAGAATTGCTATTAAGCACAAGCAAAACAATAATACCGAATATTATACCGTATCAAATGCTCTCAGTTACTGAAGCAACCTCAAAGAACGCACCTGCTGATATAAAATCATGTCGTCCTACATCCTAATATCAGTAGAAGAACTTCATAAAATATTTAATGCTGCAACGTAATAAACAGTACAGAAACATGATTTTGTACAATGCCCAGAACAAACATGTACAGAATTTCAATGCAGAAAAACAATTAAAAAAATGTAATATTGCTTCAAACTATGAATTATTGAATAAAAAAAAACATACCAGACGCAGGGATTGCATTTTATTTGTTTACTCAAAATTCGTTTATTTTTGTCATTTTATTTTTGCCACAATTAGTTTGTCACTCTTGTGTTCGAAATCAGGCATTGTTAATACTGTGCAGTCTTGTTTTGGGTATTGGCCTCTGACTTTTGGATTATTCACCAATCTTTTACAGATTGGTAATCATTTTAAAGAACACGAATTCTTTGCTGATGGATATGTTATATTTGGCCTGGATTCATCAAAATAATGGTCTCTTGATTGAAAATTTTAATTTGAAGATGAAGTAGGGGTTTTAACATTTTAAGCAAATATTTACTCTGGAAACAATCTACTCAAGCAGATCATTTCTTTACAGTTCATGATGTGATATATTTAGGGAAAATAATCATTTTGTTGGTGTCATCACAAAGGATAATTACCTCTGTCCTTCAACCACATATATATCATTAGATTGGTAAAATTGTTTAATTCATACCGAAAAATCTAAAATGATTTATAAAACTAGAACCTGTGATTTTGTAAAAATAAATTATAAAGTAGACCACGGTTTTAATACTGGAACTTTGAAGTGTTATTATATTTTTAAAACAAGTTTGGTTTTTTGTTAAGCTTATAAATTGTAATTTAAATTTACTCTGTGAACAAATATCGTATAACATTAAAAGCTTGCGTATAATGGAAGGTTTTTAATTAGCTATGGAACTTCATTGATAAATTACAATGTAAAAATGGATTTAAAATACTTTCACATCGAAAATGATGTTGAACTTCAAGACGATGACCTCTTAGTTATAAAAATGCACATACATATAGAATAATTTGCATCTAAAACAAAGAAAAATGTTTAAAACAACTAAAAGGAATTTACACTATTGATGTGAATTGAGGGTTTTCGTCGTAGTAAAAAGCGATGCTACCTTATTCGGGAAAGGTTGCTAGCTTGACTTTTTAGCAACAAAAAGTAAAAGAATTAATATATTGATAAATACCTTGAAGAATAAAGAGTTTTCTTCGTAAACATCATATAATGAATCAATTTGATTAAGTTTTTAAATTGAATATGAAATTAACACAGGGATTATACATAATAACTGGAATGAATAGACAATGAATAAAAGTTAAATAATTCATTCTATAAAATCATATTTAAACATCTTTAGAAGCATAAATATTAAAATGTTAAGCACAATACTCTGATATGAATCATTTATTTAAAAAAAACATGCTCTGATTTTAGTTTTTTTTCGCAACAACATCCACTTTAAAAAAACATTGTCCTTCAAATGGTGAATCTGATTGTACCATAAGTTGTAGAGAAAAAAATTGTTCATTAGAAACATCTGATGGTGCCACAAAAGGGAATCAGCCACCTCAAACTGATTTCTTGTGTAGGATTCAAGCAAAATTCTGTGTTTCGTAGCCAGGCAATATTCTTTTCAGTCGGTTCATGAACAAGGGTCATTATATTTTGGTGGTCTCCCTTTCCACGATCAATATGCGGAATCAGTATCAAAACTTTACAGCCAACGTTTGCCTTCTCCAAATTTGAAGTTTGAATTTCTTGTTCATTGGAACATCGAAGTTTTACAGCAAGTTACATGCGTTGTGCATTTACATTCATAAACATGAATGAATGTGCATTTGATGCTGTTTTAGGCACACAATTGCAATAAATTCATGGCATACGTGTGAAGTTATCACTATTATTAAAATGTTGGTATTATTAATTTCAATTTTAAATACTTTTATGTTTATGAGTTAATGTAGTTCAACACAGTTCAATACCATATCACTGGAAAAACTGTAACATATAAACCACATATTGGCTCACCTTACCCAAAAGAGCAGTCGTTTACTTCTTGGTCACATTACCGATTTTCAGTCGCACATTTTACTGCAGCTACTACCTTTGTATTGTTATTTTTCTTAAATCATAAAAGTATCAAGAATTGTGTACAAAATGCTTTATTGAAATGTAAAGGTATTCATGAAAAAATGGTCGTAAAGTATAGGAATACAAGGTTCTAAATCAAACCAAACCATTTTACTTAGATTGAATTGCTTTTTAAAATAACTGTCATCAGTAGCAAAGAGAAACAAGTGTTTGAACAAAAACAAATTAATGCATAAATTCGTCGGGAACTATAAAATCAAAATGGGATACAATAAAAGAGCTGAAACCTCTGAGGTAAGATTTGACAGTCAGACATACTTTTATGTCCATTTTGTATTTTGTCATCTTGAAGTAGATGTCCGAAGGAATCCAAATCGTTCACCTTTGACACTATGGAATACTTAGACCAAGTTTCATATTTTTCTGTTCACATCTTAACAATTATATCTAAGTTTTTTATCACGTTATTTTTATAGATCTAGTGTTGCAGATTATTAATGTTAGATTTAAGTTTCTTGTATCTTCTATGTATGATAGATTTCATGATACTATAGGTAAAATGCTGAAATTGTCATTGAAGTACAATAACTCCTTCACGAAGTCATTTGACAAATTTGTCATACAGACTATACAGTTGTTAATCATGTCTTGTAAACATGTTTGATCTTTATCATGATAGTTTAATTCTTCTTTTGTATCATAATTTTCAAGATTACAACAAGACGCGTAAACCTATGGTGAAGGTTTTCGTGTAAGGGCAATCATTTCTTCAAAGGGTTCCTTAAAAATTAATGTCATATGGATTTTACGTAGATCTGTTCTTGCTGTTCAGTTTTGCTGTTTTACAGTTTCTGTCAATCTAATATACAAAATATAGTTTTCAAGACAAAAAGTCAAAATGTGACGTATTTGTAGATCTTGTACTGGGGATCATTATTGCTCTGACATTTTCTGTTTATCCATTATTTTATCTCTCAAGATAATAGCTAGAGATAAGAAGGTAGCATAAGGGTTTAAATGTCAATTACAAATATAATTATTCATTTGTAGATCTTGCAGTGGTAACAATTTTTGCAATATCAGTTTCTGTCTGTCTATCATAATTTTCAAGATTTAAGTTAAAAATAGCTCTAAAATTGGTAAAAATCTTTCAAGGGTAATAACTCATAAAAGAAGACAAAAAACTATATCGGTCATTAAACAGATTTGTAGATTTTTTCTTCTTAACTAAACTATTCTAGTATGTTTTTAAATGTCATTGTTACTCAGTAAATAGTGTAAACTGCATCATGCGCATACCATTACACAAACATAGGTGACATTTGGTACTTGTTTTTATAATTTTTAGTTTTAAATTCATTTGTGTATTAAAAGAATGACATAGTTATATTATGATCACTGTAACAATATATAATTGCGATATCCATCTGTAAATTTGTGTAAAGATACAAAGACAAATATGATATTGACGAAACATAGGTATTTTTAAATTAGAACAAAATATCATTATACATTTTCAAAGGAGAATGTGAATAACTTTGTAGATATTGTTTTGTTAATCCTTTTGTCTTTTAAGGTTTCTGTCTATCTTTTATAGTTTTTCTTATATTTGTTAAAACACTAAAATATGTCAAAAGTTGTCATTTAATGGCAATAACTCTTATAAGGTGTACATTGAGTTAATTCACATTGACCTTAAAAAAAATTGTAGATCTTCTTTTGTTGGTCGTTTTTGCTGTTTACAGTTTTCTGTCTTTGTATTTTAGTTAATAAAATTATTTAGCGAAGAAGTATAAACTCATGTGCAGTTAATTGGGTTGTGTCGTAATTTGTTACTTTCACAGGGTGGGTTTCACTTACCGTGTCAAAAGTGATGATTACTTATTGAAGGTGAACTAAACTTTTATTTTGATTGACGTTGTCTTTCTTTTTGTTGGGAGAGATAGACGACTTATCATGAACGTACAAAACTAACAACAATTATTTTATTTTATCTCTTTAGTTTTGATTAATCTGATACAAAAAGTAAATCGATTAATATGGCTTACTTGATATGTAATTAATATTTGTATTCTTATTTGTAATATAATATTTGAAACAAAAGATACATTTTGTGCGCTCTACACGTGGTGCTCTATCACTCTACCACGATCAAGTTGTGTTGTTAATTCAATGACCTGTTTCACAGATCGACTTTTTGTTCATAAAGGAAATATGACGTGACGAGGGTAACCTATTTAAAGAGAAAAAAATCATTTATATCTTTTTTATTGACAGACAGCTGTAACAGTTGGTTATAGAATAAAGTCTGGAAGATGGGATTACCAAAACCACAAGCAAAACCTGAAATAAAGTGTACCAAGGTCAGTTCATTTTCATTACCTTTTTTTATTTATTCTTTGTTTGAATGTATTTTAGGAGGGTTATTTTCATGTAATCATAATTATCTTATTCCATTATAAATCTAGGAGATTTGAAGTGCCTTTCTCTGTTCTGAATTGTCATTATAGACATACAGTGACAACTTTGTTCATGAAAAAAACATATTTCTATTCTTTTTATAAATTTATTTTTGTATATTTTTTGTTGTTTTTTTTTGTTTAGGGTAATTTTGTTTGTTTTTTGCAACAATATAATTCTATCATTATTAAACTGTCCAGACTCAAGTTAGTAGCGAGTATACAATTGATAGCAAAGGAACGGCGCTTTCATTGCTGTTGCTCATCGCAAGGACACACCGAGGATTTCAACATTCAGCATAAACTCTCATCTCGCTGCCAGTATAAACACTTGTTAAAGATCGCATATGGTCATCTAGAGGCCTTTTCTGGTTTTCTCATGTTTTAGGGTTGTCTGTCGTACCTTATTTTAAATTCAAATCTGTAGCATGTTATCGTTAATTAAATAATATTAATAGAAAAATTGTTTATTATTATTATTATCATTATTATTATTTGGAAAAACTAAAATGTCCAATGATTAAAACAATATTATAGAATTCATGAATACTGAAAGATAAATATAAGTACCTGTAAGAAGTGTTTCTTGAGTGGCAGTATCCAACCAATAGCTGTAGATACTTTACCTAGCTTCCTGTAATAGCTAACATTTTTTTACCAATCATTCCAAATTATAAGCTGTTTTTATTTCCTTGTTCAGGTTAATGGTCATCCTGTTGGTAGCTGAACTGTGTAGGTTTTATCTTGTTTTGTAGTGTTACGACATATGATCTAGATAGGCAAAGGGTGATGTGTGTGCGTTCTCAAAATTGGTATTTGTCCACCACATTTTTTATCATGAACCAAGACAGGCTATAGTGACCGTTTTTTCGTTGTTTGTATGTCTTTTTGTTGCGTAGTCGGGTATAGATGGTTGGTTTTGTACCGACCTACATTTTTATTATTATTCCTGTTATCTTTTAAATGGATTATTGTTTCATGTGAAATATAAGCATGTTTGACAATGGGAATTGTGTAAAATTAAGATTAGAATTAAATTTTTTTTTTGGCATTCTTGTAAGCCATTCAATTTTTAAAAACAGATGTTTATTTAACATAGATCTGCATATGTTTCACTAAGGATCAAGAATATAACAAGAGAGAGTAATTGCGAGTTTACCTTGCCCGATACTGTCTGTATTTTTTATGAGCTGCAGGTGCTTCATGGATCATAAAATACAATGCTTATGTTTAACCGTCATAACTTAATCATATTTAAGTACAATTGTTTAAAATCTTGATGTCACCATTATGGTATAGTCAAGAGAACGCTTGAGCTTCTTCTGTATATAAAGATATAGAAATATTTCACTTAACTGATTCAAAGAGAATTTTTCTGACAATACTTATTTTTACAACAACAATAATTTAATGTTTAAATATATAGAAATATTTTACCTCACTGATTCAAAGATAATTTTTCTGACAATACTTATCTTTACAACAACAATAATTTAATGTTTAAAGATATAGAAATATGTTTGTGCTCTATTAAACATTCAGTAACTAGAGTCCTTAATTTAACAGAAAAAATGTAATATAAGCCTTTTTTCATTGTACAAAGAAACCTAATAATAACTATTTGAATAGAGTTTTTTCGGTCAATACTCTTCTAGTTTTACAGTACAAGCTCATTACGAATCATTCAGTACAGAACATTTTGTATTTACTTAAAAAATTCTAAATCGAAAAACCCTCGATCCACCCATTTAATTAAAAAAGGAAGATAACTATAAGTGGAAAGTGTCAAACATTAATCCACGGGTTGTAAAAAATTCTATAAATATATTCATACATTATAAATGCTTTATTTGGCAGGAACTTAAACAGTATTTTGATCTACGAAGTGAATATTACAAATTCGCTTGACATGTCGATTTGAGCCATGTATACCTTTTATAAACTCTTTGAGTAGGGGACCTTTAAGTGGAACACTTTTGTATTATTGCTAGAGATAATACAAATATTATGAAGTGTGTTAAAAATTAAAACTGCTAGAGCACACAACACCTTTTTCAAGTTTGTATTATTTTTGCTGGGGACTGCTCACCTTGGAAATTTGTTAATAGTTTTGAATCTAGAATATCTTTTCAATTATCAAATACTTCTATTTTTCAAATGCATCCTCAAAATAGTTGTATTTCGCATATTTTACCGCAAAAATTAAAGTTTAATATAATAATATTCCTTTATTTTGTCGATGTACACGCGATTTGTAATGTTGAATTATTATATTTGCAGATCTTTATCAACAATGAATGGGTGAATTCTACAAGTGGGAAAACATTTCCAGTAGTTAATCCATCAACTGGAGAAAAGATTGTTGATATACAAGAGGGAGACAAGGTAACAAGACGTAGAGACTCAAATGTAAAATTGTTAACGTTAACAACAAGATTATGGAAAGTACAGGTTTAATATATTTTTGTCTAGCAAAGTTTCTTTGGCATATATATCCATAACATTATTATCTTCTAAATAACTTCTTGAATAACATTCTTTTATGCATGACCATAATTTGAAGTCCTGAAAAAAGCACTTTTGAAATTTCGTGCGTCCTAAGCGCTTTTCTGGAATCGCCTTCATCACGAAAACTCTCACCTAAACATTAGAAATCCAGGGATGTATTATTATGTTTTGAAATCAATTATTATTTCATTCTATAGGCCGATATTGATAAAGCTGTTAAAGCAGCACAAGCAGCGTTCCAACCAGATTCAGCATGGCGGACAATGGACGCAAGTACACGCGGAGAACTGTTACAAAAACTGGCGGATCTTATTGAGAGAGATGCTGTTTATATGGCTGTAAGCAAAATAAGAATTAAAACAAAACTACACAGTAAAGAAAAATGTGATATTAAGTGAAGGGCTGTATTGGTAACGTACTCAGTTTGTTAAATAATATGATTACATGAACACCTGATTCCCTAGAAATTGAACACCGAGAGCCCACACGAGTCAAGACTGTACTGTTAACGTACTCAGATGGTTGAATAACATTATTAAAATACTTATGTTCGTAACTTCGTTACATTCTGATTCTTTTGTTATTTGTAACATAAATAAAAACATTATATACAAAGAAAAATAAGTTAAGGAGTAAACATTAATGAGACAGCAATCGAACAACTTTGTGCAAATACAGAATTTCGTAAGTTTTTGCAATTCAAATTGTTGAATTACGTATTCATTACAAAAGAACCCGAATGTAAGTTCGAATCCACATTGGATAGTAGTTGCATAATAAAATCTAATTTGTCCGGTTACACTAGCAATTATTAAAGTCATTTTCGTGTAATATAACGGATATTTTATAGGAAAATGTCACTATAGTTTCCTTTAACAAACACTATTAAAGATAATGACTTTCTCAAAGGCCCCCATGGGGTCTACAGAAAAAAAATCGTAACAATTTCGATATAGATTGTCAAAAAGATACGATAGAATTTTAATTTCTTACCAAAATATTCTCAACAATTATTCAGCATAGTACAAATATGAATTTTAGAGTTTAGAAACGCTAGATAATGGAAAGCCGTTTAAAGATTCATATGGCATTGATATCCCTTACACGATCAAATGTTTACGATATTTTGCTGGATGGTCTGACAAGATACAAGGGAAGACGATACCCATTGGTAAGACTTAGTCTTAATGTGAGATGCTTGTGCTTAGTCAGCACCGATATTTATCATATTTTAATGATAAGAAATTATATACATGTAAATATAAAAACATGAGATTGATACGTAATAATTCATGCATGTCAAAAACTTGCACTATAACAAACAAAAAGACGCCAAATTTAGAACACGAATGATGAAATGTAACCTTATTGAAATCATAAGGATTTATTTTAAAAAATGAAAATTTGTTCCTAATTACCATTATTAACTAGTTTAATATCGACTTTCACATAGTCATATTTCTTTTTCTTAATGCGTCTATGCAAGCAAAATACGTATAGCAAAATAGTTAAAAATTCTTTATGTCATAACATTATATTTTGTTTTTTCTGATTAGATGGAAACTTTTTCTGCTACACTCGTCACGAACCAGTTGGAATATGTGGACAAATTATTCCAGTAAGTCTCTTAACTATTTAGTAAAAATAAAGGATATGTGGTTTATACATCAATGAGAAACCAACACAAGGACACAAAAAAACATACGTCATCTAGAGTGCAACTGATAATCTTTAACAATATACGTGTTTACAAAATATGTCAAGTTCTAAATCCTCCAAAGTCTGGAAAAAAATGTGAATAAATCAACCAAAATACCAAAACTCTGCCATCAATGCCTAGCTCTAATATAACATCTTTTCAGCTGATTTGAGACAGGCGCATGAAGATAATGTATCTTTTTAGTAAGGGGTGCTACGATTTTATTTTATGCTCCATCTTCAGCTACGATAATTTTAGTGTGTGTACTGTAATATTTATACAAAAAGCAGAAGGCAGTAGTTTATCTACACCTTACATAACTTTTTTGAACCTGTTATGAAGTGAAGTTAACATACCGATTTCTATATGAATATCATGTGCACATCGGATAAACTTGAAAAACCAGAGAAAAATAACAGTACTATGCATGATAGATATAAAGCTATTTCAATGAACGATCTTTTCCTACAGTTAGGACTCGGATCATGTGTTAATTAGAAGTAGCAAATGAAATTGGCCCTTAATTAAGTTCGTGCGCTTGAAGCGCTTTTATTGATTTACCTTCTACAGGAACGCTCAAACCGAAAAATTTGCAAAAGGAATTATGAAACACCTAAACACGTCAGGAGTTATTCGACCAAAAGAGACCGAAAAAGAAAAAAAAGAGCGAGCAGGTTAAGACAGTTTTAATATTTTCAGTGGAACTTTCCATTACTAATGATGGCCTGGAAAATTGGACCGGCTCTTTGCTGCGGAAACGTTGTGGTGTTAAAGCCAGCCGAGCAAACACCATTAACAGCCCTTTATACAGCACAATTGGCTAAGGAGGTAATTCGAATCGCATTAAATTGTCTGCACTGAAAATTTGTTTTCTCCTGTTTTTTTAATCATCAATCCCGCTTTTAGAATTGTATAACATAAGGTTATGATTAGAGAAGAAAGTAATATAAAAAATATGGCTTGACAGGAAAGGCATGACTTCATTGGAATGATTAACTATGACTTTAAGTTCTTATGATAAAAATAATTATTGTTTGTTTGATTGTATATTTATGCGTTTAATTACAAAAACCTGTGATGGAAAATTCCAACAGATTATTAAAATTCTAAAACAAAGCACTTATAGACATTATATTTTAAAAATGCAATTTAACGATAACACTTCAAATCTGCTATATTACAACAACTGCAATTATAATTTTCAGTGACTTTACTTTTTTAATTCATTTATGATAAGGTTCAATGATTAACAAAGTAAGTGACATATTTAATGAAACTACTAGTGTTTTAAACCAATATTCAATACATATTAGAGTGTTGCATGAATTTATGATTTTGGCAGAGTGCACGCTTTTTCATAGTAGTGTTTTATGATTGAAAAAGGCTGGTTTTCCACCTGGAGTTTTGAATGTGATTCCTGGATATGGACCAACCGCTGGATCAGCAATTTCTCACCATCCTGATATTGACAAGGTCGCATTTACAGGATCGACTGAAGTATGTACTTTATATCGATTTAAGAGCGAAAAAGGCTTAAATTTACTTTGAGGTCACAGTAGTTTACCTATGTTCAAAACTCAGTAACAAACTAGCACAACATCGAATTAGACACATTCGCTTAATTAACAGATCAGAGGTTTATAAATATAACTAGTATATGGTGTCTTTATATTGTAAGGACTTTTTTCTCATTATTTGGGCTTTCAGTTATAATCGAAACAACTGTTTTGTCTTTGCTTGAATGGACTTAAAATGTACGATCAGTCTTTCAAGATCGAACGCAAGGTTCTGTGATCACTATATAATTATACCCCGCTTTAAAAAAGTGGGGTTATACTGTTTTACCTCTGTCTGTCCGTCCGTCCGTCCGTCCGTCCGTCCGTCCGTCCATCCATCCATCCATCCATCCATCCATCCGTCAGTCCATCCGTCAGTCCGTCCATCCGTCCCATGAATATTTTTCGTCGCAGCTTTTTCAGGAACTACATCATAAGGATTTCTGAAATTTGGTTTCAGGGTTTATATAAGTTAGTTATACCGTGTGATGCGTTTTCAGATTCAACCCTCGAAAACTTCCTGCTTACCGAACACTTACATATTTTTACACTATTAAAATTATCCAGTTGCGGCGGGGGTATCATCAGTGAGCAGTACTCGCAGTTTCATTTGTTTCTGAAGGTTTCTAGCATTTGTATTGACCCAGAAGTTGTTGACTCATTAAACGCCCTGTAGCCGATCAAGTCACAGACAGTTTAATGTTGCAAAATCATTTTCAGAATGCAGTGTTAAAAGTTTGCTGTGCTTCGGGTTTTCCTAATTTTTAACCTACCCAACTTAGGCAGAATTTAGGCCAGGACAATCATACTTACAACTTATTACAAGATTTGTACTTCCGTGAGTAACTCGACGGATGCCACATATGGACCTTGAACGAACTTTTACCCTTCTGGAACACCACAGCTTAATTTCAAATTTTGGTGGGCTTCGTGTTTCTCAATCAATTAGTGTTCTGTGTAATGCTTTTAATGTTGTTTTTGTTTTTGTTTTTGTTTTTGGCCATGGTGTTGTCTGTTATTATTGGACTTTCTATTGCACTCTTGGTATATTTTCTCTCTCTTTTGAAAATAAAAACACAGATTCCAGTAAAATATTTTCCGAGGCAAACATTGTCTTTATTCTGAACGGTCAGTTCGGCGGCATAATTATATATGAATTTGTATTAATGAACTCCATCGACTTTCTGCAATACATTGGACATTGTTTTCCCTTGCACTCCTAGATTCGGAACTTGGCCAATAATGGACTAATTCATTAATTTCATGCGTTTGTTTTCAAAGTGTTCGTCATAAATCTGCATGAAATATTTGCATCTGGCGTCGAGAAAACAGCAGCAGACAATCAATAAAACGTATAACCCAGCGAACGTAAGAAATATTTTTTTTAGATGTCTTGTAAGTTATATTATAATACTGTGCAAAGAAAGCGTTACGACTGAGTTAGACAGCTGTATATATAAGATTGCGTAGAAGGGTTCTAAAAAACACATGTTTATCTAGAAGACTTTTTAACATGTAAGGATATATGATTTATTATGCTACATGGAACATTTTTGTCAAAGCGGAAAAAACAAGTACATAGAGAGTAATAGTTACTTTAAATACTGGCAAATATACTAGCATACAATGTTTTTTATTTCCTTATGATTTTTTATTAAATGGATTCGGAAGTTAGAATACATGTTTTAGTTTGCCAATAATATCAATTACAGGTCGGTCAACTTGTGATGGAAGCTGCTGCAAAGACCAACCTTAAGCGCGTCACATTAGAACTTGGTGGTAAAAGTCCGAACGTTGTGTTCGCTGATGCTGACTGTAAGTTGTGTTCAATAGTGTTACTTGGTACTATGTTATCCGATGTTGTTGTATATTGATATCTACATGTTTCAATTATCTAGTCGCGAACTGCTTTGAAAACTGAGTCACATTAACCAATTTATGAATTTCATCTTCTATCAAAATTATCTTTTAAAGCTGATATTATTAAAAAAAATCTTCAAACATTTTTTACAAATAATCTGTCACAGATTAAGTAAGTTCATTCGTTTTGTTTAGAACTTTAACGTCCAGTTTCACGGTCAGAAATACATTATAATTGTCCTCTTCACTGTCAACAAAAATGATTAATTGACTAGTACCACTCAGAGTACTGACATTTATTCAATAATTTATTCATTATTTTTTTATCAAGATAAACCCATTATTACTGACATAATGAGGAAAACAATTTGGTGTTTCTTTTTAACATGACTAAACAAAATATTTTAAAGGTTTGACCTAAAACGCCTTTTTAAATATTAATAAAAACCCATGTTTGTCCTCTGTTGCATATTGATTTTAAAGTGTCAAAATAGTTTTATAAATACTAAATAATAATGTCGCCATGTCTCGTAGTAAAATTAAATTAGACAAAGCTGATTGATATTAAATAAACTAACCTAATAATAAGTATTCCTGTATTTTCAAAAATGTCAATAATAGTTAATATAACTGTTTCCTTTTGGAGATTTATTTTACTGCATAATTATTTATAACGCAAATGTATTATACAGATTGCGTTACAAACTTCTTATTTTTTATCCAAACATTTACTTAGTGTCTTTTGTTTAGGGGAAGATAAAAATACCTTTTAAATATCACACTTTTGATGTTCGAAGAAACTAACCCTGATCTCAAACATAAAATTTTGGAAAACTGTTGACTTCATAGAATTGGCGGTACATATATTTGTTTATACAAGTGAAACAGACTTGCACCAACATATTTTGTACATTTATATATATAAGTATAACAAAAATACCGAAATTCTAGTATATTCAAAAAGGGAGAAGTCCATAAAACCGACAAAATCAAAAGTTAGACCCTATTAACAAACGGAACGAATGGAAATTGTCAGTCAATTTCCAGTTCATAAAATTACGTAATAGTGCCAGAGTCAACTTTAAGGTTACCTCAGCCGAGGTTAATCAATTTTGCCTGTTCTGTTTAGGATCATTTAGTTTTTATACTTTCAAAGGTTTTGAACATCGATAAACTATAAATGTTCCCATAATTAATATTTTTGGTTTTCCATATTTTCGGTCAAGATGGCATCTGAAAAAGCTTTTTTTCGAAAAAAAAACGTGTTATACACACAGAAAACGAAATATAAATGTACATTGTGTATTTTACTAGTAAAAATTCATCAAATATACTAGATTTTATAATACGGTACTCCATACGCACGTTTCTTCTGTATTAGACTCATCAGTGGCGCTCAAATGAAAACAGTTGGAAGGCCAAACAAATACGAAAAACATTAAAAAGCAATAATTTTGTAACCTGAATAAAATGTCAGAACAACCTGAACTGTTTTTAAAAGATAGAGTTGCGAACTTTCCAAAACACTTGTATAATTTCGTACATCCACAAACTATTCCCAAGAAGATGTAATTTGTTTAAAACAAAATCAGTTTAAAATTTGACATTCCATTCCCTAGTCTAAGGATTTAAGGAATGTGTGGTCTAGATCTTGGCATAGGTGTTTAACACTCAACTATCATTGAGGAACTTACGTTAAGATCTAAATATTTTAACTGCTTAATTAGGATGGATGTCTTATTGACGTTTACTTCGTTTTTAAAATATAAAAGCATATGTTTTGACATTTACTCTCGATTGACAAAAGTTTTAATCCAAACTATGCATGATAAATACAAATTAACAATATGCATGTAAGACAATAAAAATATGATTCACCGTGTCAAATTAAGGGACCATCAATAATTCTGTTATTGTACTAAATAAAAATGTGCACATTGGGTAAGATTTCGATAAAAGAACGATAACTGAATCTAGGATGAGAAAACTAAATGAACAGATTATCACATTAATGATATCAGCCAAGCTGTAAAATCTTTATCTTTGTTTAAATAACAAATTGTTTTTGTCTTCAAGATGTTCCAATAAACCTTGCATCAAACATTTCTTACTAAATTCAAACAAGTCCTTCAAAGATATTTAAACAAAAAATGCACTCAACCAGTGGAATAAATCAGTTGTGGATTTTTAATACTTGTATTTAAACGATTTTCCTCAATATTTTCTATCACAGTTGTATTTTAAACAATATGTCAAAACATTAGTCTTTTAGGAATTTAATCCTTTAGTCATTTAATCTTTTATTTTTCAATCTAAACTGAATAATAGCCTAGATCTTCTCATTAAACAACATTTCCTTTATGCGAATAGTAAAAAAAAGATTCGGAAAACCTCTTACTTTGTACTATACTGTCATACTGATTCCAAGATAAATCTCCACAGTAGTAAATGCTTGAGTATTTCTTAAGTTTGGCTGATTGTTGTTCAAACAAATAGTTCAACCTAGTCGGTAATAATTTTGCGCTTTCCTAGCTGTGTTTGTACTCGTATGGATCATAATTAATGTGAAGACTGTCTTGCTTAAATTATGATCCATATCCCCCGAATAGATTCCCTTAGCAGTATTTGGCACAAATGTTCAGATGTTTTGGTTTTCAATGCTGTTCAACTTCGGATTTAATTTGGTCTTCCAAATGTTTTGATTTGAGCTGCACTGATGAGTCTTATGTAGACGATACACGCGTCTGGAGTACCGCTTGGTATCTTTGATAAGTTTTACAACCACACAGGGAATGTCACTGTTTGTTGATGTCACCAATGGTATCAACAGCCCATCAATCGGCCCTTTAATGTTGAAGAAATATAATAGATACATTTATCTGCTGTAAATTAACTGTTTATTAAATTTTAAATTATTCGAAACACTTAGGTTTATCTTCACCAAGGAATATATTGTTTGAACAGTATTTGACAGAACTATTTGAATTTTTTAGTTTTCACTGGTCTTAAAATTGCATGTGGTTTGGCCTACCAATTGAAACGCTCTTCTTGCGTACGAATTTATAAGCCTGGTATCGTTAATGAGTTTTGTTACACTAAATACTACAATGACTTAGAAATCGTTGTAAAACGATTAATTCAAAACAGTGGAACACCTTATCGGCAATCTTCGCCTTGATTTAAGTCCAAAGTTTTGAAAAGAAAAAGTATAACAAAAATACCAAACTCCATGATAAATTAAAAAGTAAAGTCCATAAAAACAACTGACAAATTCAAACGTTATCAACCAACGGAACGAATGAACATTGACTTATATTTTTACTAATATCAGTATAATATCTTCATGTTTGCTCTCATCTATACCTCTAGTATATTGGTATGATAACTCAATTCTTTTTTTTTTTTAAATTTGTATGAATCAACAGTGGATTTAGCAGCAGATATGTCTCACTTCGGATTATTTTTTAACATGGGACAATGTTGTTGTGCTGGATCAAGAACCTATGTACAGGAAGAAATTTACGAAGAATTTAAGAAAAAATTAGTGGACAGAGCAAAGAAAAGGCCTGTTGGGAATCCCTTTGATGAAAAACACGACTCCGGGCCACAGGTGTGTATCTCGTTTTTAGCTCACCTGGCCCGAAGTGCCATGTTAGCTTTATCAATACATGGCGTCCGTCGTCCGTCGTCCGTCGTCGTCGTCGTCCGTCGTTTACTTTTAAAAAAATCCTCTCCTCTGAAACGAATGGGCCAAATTTAACCAAACTTGGCCACAATCGTCATTGGGGTATCTAGTTTAAAAATGTGTCCGATGACCCCGCCTGCCAACTATAGATGATAGTTAAGGCAATGTGTATAAAGACAACTGTTCAGCCATTACATTTTATATACAACTAACGTATTTCCGCCCAAGGCGACGTCACTGACAATACGACGTCGACAATGGAAAAGTACAATAGTACGGACGTTATGTTCCCGCGACAATCTCAACATACTGGGGCCGCGAAAAGTAAAAAATATCACAATTTTCTAAATAATCTCAATTATCCATTGATCAATCGTTTGACTGATAAATTACTGTCCATCAATAAATAATAATACTTTGAAATTGTCTCTCGCGTTGTGTTTTTCTTTGAAATACTGAGTACATGAAATCATTTAAAACGGAAATTACATTTAGCAATTAAATTCAATTAATGTCACTCATGAAATAAGAATAAAATTCAACTTTGCACTAAAACGCGTAATTGTCTATCAATTACATCACTAATGGTCGTCTTTAACATCATTGGTGTATCCACTTCCGTATGGTCTCACGGGCTTTAAGACTTGCTTTTCGTCTCGGTCTGTTCTCCATATTTTCCTGCTGATCATCTATTGGAACGTTAGAATTGTTTGTCATCGTTTGTGTAACTTCTAATGGATATAATTTTGCGATCGGTCTAGTTGTTTCCCCATTGTTGGTTCTTATTCGTGCAGATCTTACAAGTCCGTCGTTACCTCTCGCCAGTTCGGTTACGATCCCAATTTTCCAGTTTATACGCGGAGATTCGTTGTGAATTTGCACGATGTCTCCTGTATTAATTAATTGTTCATTTTTTCCGGTAGTCCTATGAAATTCACGTAACGACGTAAGGTATTCGGATTTCCATCGTTTCCAGAAATGTTGAATTAATTGCGTTTGTCTGTGTACACTTTTATTAAGATCGTAATGTCCCATGTAAGTCGGGTCGGTGATGTTATCGATTTCTGGTTGTGGGTACGGTAATGTTGAAATGCGCCTTCCGTATAGTAGATGAGACGGTGTTAAAGCTTCACAGTCTTTGATATCGGACGATGGATAAGTAAGCGGTCTGTCGTTTAAGATAGTTTCTATTTCCGCAACAATTGTTTGTAATGTTTCCATGTTAACTTGCGATCGTCCAAGCACTTTTTTCAAACTTGTCTTCGTAAGAGCAATCAAGCGCTCCCAGAATCCACCATACCATGGTGCACGTTTCGGTATGAATCTCCACTCTACACCGTGTGTTGATAAAGTATCTTTTACTATATCCGATTCACATAATCTTTATTTCCTCAGATCCTGCAATGAATGTAGATGCATTGTCAGATACTAGAATTTTAGGCAGAGATTTACGGCTAACAAAGCGTCGAAATGCCTGAATAAATGAATGTTCGCTCATGTTTGGAACTACTTCGAGATGAACTGCTCTAGTCGATGCGCACGTAAAAAAGCATATATACGCTTTCTTTAAAGTTCCTTCTTGATCTCTTACGTATAAAGCGCCTGTATAATCGACCCCTGTGACGGTAAATGGCGAGGCTTCCTGTACTCTTATTTTCGGAAGCGGTGGCGGGTCCGGTTTGCTGTAAGATTTTCCCATAACTTTGCGGCAAGTTACACACTTATTCAATAACTTCTTAATAAATTGTCGAAGTGTCGGTACCCAATACGATTGTCGTACTGTAAAAGTTAGCGTAGCATTAAGTCCAGAATGGAGTGAACGTTCGTGTGCGTCTATCACAATCGTATTGGGTACCGACACTTCGACAATTTATTAAGAATAAATAAATAGTAAGGAGGTAGACGAAGACGGTGATGCATATATTAAAGCCTATCAGGACAGATCAATTGAGTTCCGAGAAAATAAATATTTCGCTAGGTTACCATGGAAACCTAGCGAAATATTTATTTTTCCTGATAGGCTTTAATATATGCATCACCGTCTTCGTCTACCTCCTTACTATTTATTCCTATTGATTCTAAATTCCAAAATCTCTCTAGATTGTATTCTTTAACTTTGTGTGATATTAGAACATTAAACATGCTAGTTTTCGACGTGTTAGTTTTCTTACCGTATGTAGGTCCCGAAAGCAAATATCCGATCTTGGATTTCACGGCGGTCGGACCGTTTCCCCGTACTATATGGTCTTCTACAATGTGCCAATAGTGATCTGCGCCTACTAACAACGATATTTCGAATGAATCTTGCTGTGTCATCGTGTGCGCTAACTTTAAACCACGCAAATAACCATTTTGTGTATCAATATTACGTCTGTGATTCTGTAGAGGCATGGCTATCATCGGTACTATCAGTACTTTGATTGGCAATACGGTTTTCAGATAGATTGTTGTCTTTTCTAGGTGTCTCGCGTTTTTCTCTTCACCTCCAAATGCCGATAAATGTATTATCTCTGTTCCCTCTATCTGTAAGTTGAGTTTATTTAAACGTTAAAAACGATCTTTGCGCTCCTTCGTCAAAAAGAATGTTTGTCTCGGTGTAGAGCTGATTCGACCCTACTTGTGCTACGGCGGTTTTCAAAAGTACACTTGATCGCGATTCTGTCGATTGTGAATACAAAATGGTAGTATCTTGATCCGTTGTATGACTATCATTTACGAGGTGAACGTTTGTAGAATTTGAAGATGGTGGGTTTTGCGGGTTGCTGCTCTGATTATCTTTCGCGCGGAAATTCGTATGTGCTGAGTTACTACCCCCGTTTCTATGGCTTACCTCATGGACTGGTTTTATGCTGTTTGTTGGACGTACATTACACAAGCTTGTATGGTGTTTCTTATTACAATGTCTACATGTGTGTTTAGATTTACATTCGTTTAGTCTGTGTTTACAAAGGCAATTAAAGCATAACTTATCACGTTTTACTATGTTCATACGGGATTCTGTGTCGGTTATTTTACTGCAATGGGTAGGTGCGTGTATTTCGTGACAGAAAACGCAAGGTCTAGTCTCAATATTCTTGTAAGATTTGGACTTCGGCAAATTCGCTCCGGCAAAGAAAGACGATGTTGTGGGCAAATTGTGTGTTGACTCTATCTCTTGTCCTGCGTCCATTATATCTATCTCGTCTAATATGCTTTTACGGAGGTCCCGTAATATCCAAGTTTTTGTTCTGTGTTCTCGCTCGAGATGTTTTCTGACTTCCCCGGGTAATTTGTTCATAATAATGGGAACAAGTAACGTACCGTATGTTTCCTGTGTTTGACCCAAAGCTTCTAATCCCCTGACGTAACCTTCCATTTTATCGTAAAAACTTCGTAAGCTTGTTAACTGATTTCTAGGCGAAGGAATTTCTAATAATGCCTGCATGTATGCATTTATGATTTTATCTTGTTGACCGAACCTCTCTTTTAACAAATTTACGGCTTCATCGTAGTTTACATTTGTTAGTGCGAAACCTGCTATTGATCCTAGTGCTTCATGTTCTAGCTGTGCTTTCAAGTAATTAAATTTTTGTACATTTGTAAGTGACAGATTAAGATGTACGGCCGACTCATATGAGTCCCAGAAAGTTTACCATTCTAAAATGTTGCCTGAGAAGGTTGGAAGCGAAAGTTTTGGTAGGCGGTGACTTTGATTACTAGTTGACGAAAATGTACTTTGTTGCGTGTTGAATGTGTGACTGGTTTGTACAGACGGGTTTTCAAACGACTGTGCGTTGTGTGTGTTGGTTATGTTGTGCGTTGGAACAAACGGTATAGTTTCTGGATTTAACGTGTGAGTTGTAGTATGTGATTCAATATGACGGGACTGCGGGGTTTGGACATTTTGTATGAACTTACGTATGTGTCGAATCTTCGTTTCCATAGTCACTGAATATTCATCTGAATCAATAATCTCATTTTCCACATCTTCCGGTTCTGTTAACTTAAGAATTTGTTCATTTAAGTCCTCAAACAATGTTTGTTTTTGCACAAGTTTTCCGAGCGTTGCAATGACTTCTTCTTCATCGAAATTCGTATTCTCCTTTGCTTCATCTAATCTGCGGAATAGTCTGGTAACAGCGCTTCTGTTCCCAGATCGAACTGATTTCAATTTTTTGAGATCCATTGGTCACGGTACCATAAATATAGATGATAGTTAAGGCAATGTGTATAAAGACAACTGTTCAGCCATTACATTTTATATACAACTAACGTATTTCCGCCCAAGGCGACGTCACTGACAATACGACGTCGACAATGGAAAAGTACAATAGTACGGACGTTATGTTCCCGCGACAATCTCAACATACCAACCAAGATGGCACACATGGCTAAAAATAGAACATAAGGGTAAAATGTAAGTTTTGTCTATTATTTTGAAAACTTTTATAAATAGAGAAAATCTGACAGGAGCAACATGTTCAGAATGTTGAGTTCTGTCAAATGTTCATATACGTGAAAACTGTCAGATGATTTCTTATAGGAGTTATTGCCCTTAAATGACAAATTTTACCATTTTTTTCATGTTTGTCTATTATCTTGATAACTATGATAGATAGAGAGAAACTTTAAATTGCAAAAATGATCAGCAAGACAAGTTCTACAAATAAGTACAACATGATCGAAATCGTCAGTCGACTCCTTGTTAGAGTTATTGCCCTTTGATGACGATTTTTACCAATTTTGTGCGTTTTTGCCTTGTATCATAAAAATTATAATAGATAGATTGAAACTTAAATAAGCAAAAAATGATCAGAAAGACAATTGAGACAATTGAGACAATATGGAGGAAATGGTCCGATGACTCCTTATTGGAGTTATTGCCCTTTAATTTTTTTGTTTTCCTTTTGCCTCGTATGATAAAAATTATATTAGATAAATAGACACTTTAGTCACAAAAATTATCATCAAGGCAAGATCTACTAAAAGTCAAGTTTTGCCGATATAGTTAGTAGACTGTCATTCTTTATAGGAGTTATTGCCCTTAAATGAGGATTTTTTTAAACCTCTTCTGTGTTTTGAGCAAAAACTAAAGAAGATAGAGAGAAACTAAACATACTAAATGATCAACAATACAAGATCAGCAAAACAAAGATTTTTGTCATGAATTCAATTCTCGTCTATAATATTGGAGAGTGTTCTTTGTTGAATATGCACATAGACCAAGGTGATCGACACAGGCTCTTTAGACCCTCTAGTTTTGTATACAGCAATTACTGAATAATTAATTTTTTATGAAGACTGAACTATTATTTAACCTTTAACGTTTTCTGTTTTATTTAGCATAATCAGATAATTTGTTTCCCTTCATGCCTGGTCATGACGCTATTGTCAAAAATCTATTCGGAGAAACAGAAACCGGTTAAGAGCGCGGAATGGTAACTAATTATACCTACTGGTGAAATCGCCATCCGTTATTTTGAGCATGCTATGATACAGTATTTTTTAAGTATTGTATTACGTGTGTTTCTCTTTTTTGTAATACGGATATTATACATTAATATTGAACAGACATATAAATGTCAACATATCCAATGCCTGACACGTGCATGTGTAATATGTCAAGCTCTCCATCGACCCTAGTTAAGAAAAACGGTGAAAAGACCTTCAAAGATTTTCCATCAACAGCAAATCTCCCAAAGGGGTTAACATTTAGATAAATTCTTGACTTAAAAACACACATTTATGTATGACCTTTAAATAGCTAAACGTAATTTGTGGCGTTTGTTTTAACGTCTCATTGACCTACACCACACATCTATTTTTTAATGTATATAGAGAATATCATATGGCTTTTTCAATATCACATACGTATCAACCCGAGACACCAATATAATCCCAAGAGCTCTGCTCGAGGGATTATATTGGTTGAGGGTTGATACGGTGTGTGATATTGAAAAAAGCCATATCATATACACTTTATTATATACATGTACCTCACGTAGATGTTTTTTATGTGACATGACGTCATACATAAAAAGGGATTTGAAATGGCGTCATACAGTTAGAGGTTTGACCTGACGTCATACAGGTTAGGGGTTTGATAAAGCCTTTGCAACAGTGACTGCAATCGATGACGTGACGTCATACAGATTAAAGGTGTGATAAAGCCTATGCAACCGTGCTGATATCGATATCATCACGGGTGGCTGATACAGCACGCTTGCCAATGACTGTATTACACATATAATGTATCTGTATTTACTACTAAGTATATAATAAACATGACTATCTGACGGAGTTAAAGTAGTTTTTAGCAATTAACCCCCCCTCGCTTTTAATTTTCAGCAGAATCTTCAAAATTAGAATTTCAGAATAGAAGAACATACAATAGATATCCGTTCAAAAGAGAACTGACCTCTTATTAATATACTACAACCTCAATGGTTGTTGACTATTGAATAGAAATATGGCCATTCGATAGTAAAGCACATACTGAAGAGGTGGTCTGTTCGTTTCGTGTAAATACGCAGTCGCGATCGATCGGAAAGGGGACGTTAAATACCATGATTTGTGTATGGGACCGTCTATGCTCACTGCAGATAAAAGAAACCTTGTAACAGACGAGTCTGTGAGTGGCCTATGGTAGGTCAAAATGTTTGGCTTTGTCCAACATACCTTTATTTTCCAATTTGTCCCTGTCGAACAACATGGCAAAGCCTACCTTTTAGTTTATCATTTTAGTATTAATAAGATTTATTGTTAATTTGTTTCTCACTAAATAAACATGAAATACTTTTCACTGGTCGTTAAGCTAACACCAATCAATCGGTCAATGAATTTTGTGCTGTCGGAAATATCCTCAAAAAAGAAATATCTCACTTATGATTACATGTTAATAGGTTGACAAAGATCAGTTTGACAAGATTATGGATCTGATTGAGAGCGGCAAAAAGGAAGGCGCACAACTTGAATGTGGAGGAAAGAAACTTGGAAGTAAGGGTTACTTCATCGAGCCAACTGTATTCTCCAATGTCAATGAAGACATGAGAATTGGGAAAGAGGAGGTATATTATATCCTTAGAACCATTTCAACTAATAAGTATGGTCATATAGTCGCCACATCAATCAACATAGAATATTAATTTTACATCAGGCTTGAAAGAAATCTTTAATTGAAAAGATATATTACTCTGCAGATTGTCGTGTTGTAAATTATCGTATAACTGAATAATTCATGTTTATTTTATGTATTTGTTTTTAGTTTCAATAAATGTTGCTCGTTTTAAAATTTTCAATGTAACCTTCAATAATTTGAATAGCTCTTTTCAACAAAATAATATGAACACCGTATAAATTTGTTCGTCTGGACCAAAAATGATATGAATAGTTATCAAAGGTACCAGGATTATAATTTAATACGCCAGACGCGCGTTTCGTCTACATAAGACTCATCAGTGACGCTCAGATCAAAATAGTTATAAAGCCAAACAAGTACAAAGTTGAAGAGCATTGAGGACCCAAAATTCCAAAAAGTTGTGCCAAATACGGCTAAGGTAATCTATTCCTGAACACCGTATAAATTTGTTCGTCTGGACCGCTTTTGTAGATTATCTAGAACCTTAAAAATAAGAAAGAAGCTATTTTCAATATAAACAAAATATTTTATATGGCTAAACAGAGATGTGGATTAAACGTAAATATGATAGCAACTCAATGACAGAAATAATCGGGAGTCTAAACAATATCCCAAGCTCTAAATATTTCCGAACCATTAATTGAAATATGGTGATAATCTGGTCCATTCGATGTACCATCGGCTTAGTAAAAACCATATACTTGAAACAAAAACAGGAAAAAAATAATGTTAACCTTGAAGAAAATAACGATTCAACTACAATTATTTAATAAGTCAGTCTGAAAATGGGGGTTGCAGGTTGTGTAAAACTAAACTGAATCCATAATGGATTATCCATTGAATAAATAGTATACATAAATATTACTAACTTTGCAAATACTGGAATATTTAGTAAGTTAAAAATGTAATTACGTTACAGATTCGTTTGAACTTGGACACACAATAAAAGATTATCACTTTTTTGAATTTTGGTTCCTCGGTGCTCTTCTATTTCGTATTTTAGTATGCTTTTTAACTGTTTTGATTCGAGCGTCACTGATGAGTCTTTTGTAGACAAAACGCGTGTTTGGCTTTCAGTCTTTTAAGCCTGGTATCTATGATGAGTATATATATATCATGTAAGACATTTCCAATATATTTATCTATGAAATTTTTCATGCTATTCCAGATATTTGGTCCAGTACAACAGATTATTAAATTTAAAACCATGGATGAAGTGATTGAGAAAGCAAATAAAACATCATACGGTTTAGCTGCTGCTGTGTTTACCAAAGACATTAATAAAGTAATGACTTACACCAGCCGTGTCAAGGCTGGAACTATCTGGTAAGTTGTCTCCTGGAGATATTGTCTAGGCTGCAAACGTCTGGTAATTTGTTTTCCATTAATCTTAATAAAGGAATAACTTACATCAGCCGTTTTAAGGCTGCAACTGTCTGGTTAATTGTTTTCCAAAGATATGGATAAAGTTATGACGCCTTTTTGACTAGAACTCAATTCAAGTTGTGAGTTGTTTACCAAAAATGTCAATAAGGTTACAACTAACACCAGCTGTGTTATGACTATAACTCTCTTGTAATTTGTTTACTAAAATATTTATAAAGTGATGATATACACCAATCGTGTTAATGTTGAAACTGTTAGATAGTTGCTTTATAATAGTGCAGTGTTTAAATACCAATTTTGTTTTGGTTTTTTGGGGGATGGGTGGCATAAATTGTAGATTTTTGTAGCCTCAAAATGCAGTTGCTTGATTTGTGAAATATTTGACAATTTCTGCTTTTGTTTTATTTCAAAGTGAATCCACACGTCAGAATAGCGAACAGAAAAACTTGTATTTGTATTTTAAACGTTATGGTACATTTATTAAAAAAACAAATCTTCATGTGACATTTCCAGGAAGGCCGATATCTTCTACAAATTCTTAATTCGAGAATTGAATAAAAGCTCACCAATGGAGGAAAACATCGTAACTTTTTAATTTTTCAACACCGAGTTAACATTTTAGCCAGTCTAATAACTTTCTATTTTGATTAAGTATTTTAATTTTTTTTTCTATTCGCGTGTTTACTTAGTCCAAGATTCCGTGCGCACATAATTTTGGGAGAAAATATATGCATATGACCCGATGACCCGCAACATATTTCATGAGTTAGCTCCCATGTTTACAAGTACTGTGAGAAAATACAATAAGATCGCAATATATATGAGAAAGCGAAGGAACGACGCTGAAAAAAGAGGGTTGATGGAAATAAAGCTTTCGTTTATGCTACATGGGGTAGTACATAAAAAAGATACTTATTTGCAAAGAAAAATAAATAAGGAATGGAATGATCTATAATCTACTTGATAATTCATCTATAATAATCTACTTGATAATTGATCAAATATGATTTTGAGACAGAAGCTTACCGCCACTCGTCAAATTCGGACATTTCCATATTTTCTATATTGGTAACGCTCTGATGTTCTACGGCTCTAGCAAGTCCATAACGGCCGTCAAAAGTCAGAGCAATCTCAAACTAATGCTTGTTATGTGCGAAAATGAAAGCGAAGTTAACTATATTTGTCTAACAGTACCGGATTTGCAACATACTGAAAAGAAATGTCTACAAGATGTTATGTTATTACAAACATATTTTTTATGTTGTTTATATTTAAAGACCTGTCCTGCTTCTTTAATGTGTTCCTATATTCTTTTTTGTTTGCAAGTTAGTCATACAGGCAACTATATGACTTTACTCTAAACATTGTATTTGTACTAAGCATCGTAAAAGAACTTTTAATTATACAAGAAAAATCTGGATATTTTATGTTTTGACCAATATTTTCGATGGAATAAAAACAAACGACGGCAATTCCTTTTTCTGTTAAATATCCTCATAATACTGTAAAGATCTGTTAAGATCATAGACTTTTATGATTGACACATGTTAAGGAAAATATTGCAAAATGATATTTATTTTCATTTTCAGGGTAAATTGCTATAATATATTGAGGACGACGTGTCCATTTGGTGGCTTTAAGAAATCAGGAATGGGTCGAGAGCTGTAAGTTTACTAAAAAACCTTTCTGATTGGTGTAAAATATTTATACTTAAAAAACCATTTTAGTTCGTATATCGTCGTGTGATTGGTATTCCGATCTCATATTTCAATGAACGTTATATTAGTTTTACTGAACATTTACAATACAAGTACAAATATCGTAGATAAGTACGAGCTTTTCTTGATTTTGATACAGTTTATTAGATTTGACGTGGAAATTTGGTTGAACCCAGAAATTTGATCATGAAATGCAAAGGATAAAAAATGGCATTATGAAAACTTGTACAATGTACAGTTGCCGTTAAATAGATAAGAAACAATCAACAATTAATCATTCAGTGTATATTTTTTTTTCATATTTCAGTGGAGAATATGGTTTACATCAATACTCAGAAGTGAAAACGGTTAGTATTGAAAAGAATATATAAAGACATTTTATTTGTAAATCAAAAGCTTTAACATATTGAAATTATTTAATAACATACTACAACCGGACAACTTTTTTTCTTAGAAGTTGGGACATAACCGTTCTTGTTTTATAACCGATCATACTATGGTTATTAAATTATTGTTTTATTTTTTCTTCTTCTTCAAATATACAGCAGACATTCAAAAACATATTTTCTTTTTAATTTATTTGATTTAAATGTGGTATACTAGTTTTAGAGCAGCTAATAATACTCAAATAGTATACGTTGCATGCCCTTATTGCACCTACAAAAAGTATATACAGGATCTAGATATAATTATGTAATCTGTGGGTGGAACACGAAATTATTTATAAATATAAACACGCTGATGTGTTCATTTAAATTTGTCAAGGTGAATCTTCTCTTTGGTAAATAGATATGCAGTGTCAAGTTTACACTACACAAATGAGTCAAACAAATAGACCTTAGAGTTAGCTCTCTTGCAATGGACAAAAAATACAGACAAGCGATTTGACTTTTTTATCACAGCTATGGACAAGATTGCATAATTCGTTCTTTCGCAATATGAATATAACCAATAAGCCTCTTCCTTTATATGATGTTGGTGTAGTTACTACTACTTACCTAATTATATGAGACAAGACGGACTTTCTTCTCTGACAAAGTAAATATAGTGTCGCTAATGTATGCAAAGCCATTTTTTATACTTGCAAAGAAGAAAAGAAAAGTAAAAATAAATATGTTTTTGATTTGCAGGTCATCGTCAACACACCGACAAAAGTATAGAAACTGATCACGTTGAAGAAGACTTTGTTATAGTGACACTATTGTATCTTGAATTAGTTACCCTTATATATCTAAATAGTAAAAATGTACAGTTGAATCTTGGTTCCCAATTAAACTTATTTGATATAATTTATTATGAGGTAAAATATGGGGATCGTTATATAGTTGCCAGAGCACATTGTATCATTTGTATTGTGCTCAATTTTACGAAGAAAAAAAGATATGACCTTATATGCAAATGTCTTGAACCTTGCAAGTTTAGTGTTGAGTAATTTAAAAAAGTTCATATTCACATGAAATCTTAATTCTAAGTGTTACATCAACATTGACAATTAAGCCTTTTAATGGACCTAATTTTCAATATATTTTTTGCATTCATCGTTTATGTGGTTTATGGTCAAATCTGTACATATAAATTATTGTTTTTATTTTCATATTATTATGAATTAATTATTTTATCTTGTTACTATGATTATTAAATACTGAAAATTTAAATACTACAAAAATGTGAGTACGATTGAGTATGTCGGATAAGATTTGACATGGTATAGTGTATAGAAATTAATTTCAAAATTTGTTTTTCTTTTCAAATTTTCAAGGTTTTGCTTATTAGAATGGATCTTTCTATCATTTAACTTATATTTAAATATTTATTAGAAATAAACGTATTCATTATTGTGTTGGTTTGGCAAGTTCTGGACAGTAATACAACGTAAAAATAAGATATGATTGCAAATCAGACAACTATCCACCAAGGACAATGGAAATGAATACTTGTGGATATTTTGGCCATTGTACTCCCAAACATTGGCAAATACCATAGCAACAAGTTTACTAGAACTGGGGGTAATTAGAGTACAATCGACCACATGGGGTTGTGATTAAAGCAGCATATCTGCTTTTTAGAAGGATAATAAACTCCAGTTGTAGGTACTCAGAAATGATAAGCAAAATGAAATTACAGGAGAATGTATGTTTCAGATTTCATTTGTTGTTATCACAAGGACATTTAAGACTTGTTCAAATACTACAAATAGGTCGATACTAAATCGTTTGGTCTACAAGTCTCCGAGGTAATCACGTGATCGGTAGTTTGTGTATTTTCAGTTGACAAAAAAGTTTAGTTTGTCGAATTTCCCTTTGATACATAGATGTTCTTTTGTTGGCTATGGCGTGACTCCTTTTTAGCTCACCTGACCCAAAGGGCCATGTGAGCTTATGCCATCACTTGACGTCCGTCGTCGTAAATTATTTCAAGAATCTTCTCCTTTGAAACTACTGGGCAAAATACCTTCAAACTTTAACTGAATGTTCCTTAGGATATCTTGTTTATAAATTGTATCTGAAGTTATGATCTATCAACAAACATGGCCGCTGTTGCTAAAATTAGAACATAGGGGTCAAATGCAGTTTTTGGCTTATATCTCAAAAACTAAAGCAGTTAGAGCAAACGTGAACGGACTTAAAGTGATGAATAGGTCAAGATCTATCTGCTATGAAATTTTCAGGCCAATTGGAGAACCCATTGTTGGGTTACTGTCAGAAGTAGTTTATTTTTAGGAAATTTTAGTTTTTGGTTATTATCTTTAAAACTATAGTAGATAAAAAGAAAGTATAAACGAGAAAAATGTTCAGCTAAGTAAGATCTACAAATAAGTTAGCAGGATCAAATTATCAATTGGCCCCTTAAGGAGTTATTGCCCTTGAAACACAATTTTTTACATTTTTTTGTTCGTCTATTACTTTTTCAAAAATCTTCTCCTCTGAAACTACTTGGCAAAATACTTGCAAACTTTAACCGAATGTTCCTTAGGGTATCTTGTTTATAAATTGTATTCAAAGTTTTGCTCCATCAACAAACATGCCCACCATTGCTAAAAACAAAACATAGGGGACAAATGCAGTTTTTGGCTTATATCTCACAAACTAAAGCAGTTAGAGCAAACGTGACAAGAGTCTTGAATATTATCATAGATAAAGATAAACTGTAAACAGTAAAAATGTTCAGCAAAGTAAGATCTACAAATATGTCAAAATGTCCAAATTGTCAATTGACCCATTAAGGATTTGTTGCCCTTTAAAGGCAATTTTACACAATTTGTTCATCACGATTGTTAACTTTAAAAAAATCTTCTCTGAAAATAAAAAAAATTACAGGTGAGCGATTCAGGCTCTTGAGGGCCTCTTGTTATTTCATATTAATGCTCTAGCTCTTCAAGTTTTAATACTTTTTACTTTTGTAATTTCGATATTTGATTTCGAAAATCACCAAAAGAAAGAAATTTTCGAATGCAAATATGATTTATCAAATTTGAATTTGCTAACTTGTGTTCCGTTTTATTTCCTAAAAAAATCAAATTTAAATGAGGTCATTTGTTTCTGGTTTATTTTGATTTAAAACGAATTGAATTAATAAATGCATTCTACAATATATATATATATATATATATATATATAAACAAGTCTAAATTGAAAACAACGTTCAAACCTATGATTGCGTTGGATAAAAACCGCAATTTTTATACGTGTGCATGCAAAACAAATTTCTGTGTAGAGGGGTCTAAATACAGCACAAACAACATTTTCCAAAAGACCAAAAAAGTGAAAAAGTATATTTTAACAAAACGCGTTTGACTAGCAGGTCGAACAACGGATGTTCTTAAACCCTGCTGACTGCCATGGCGAATGCCAAATAAATGGATCACAGATGTAACACAATAGATCTTAATTATTAATTTAATACCAAACAGAAAACAATAAACTTGCGGAAAAGATGGTATACCGCAAACATGAGGTGCAAAAATTTGTACACCATATCCGGATTTCGACAATTAGATGTTAGGAATCAAAACGGTATTTGGAAGGCGATATAATTTACCTCAATTTGGGATTGACTCTTGAATTTTGAAGAGTCGAAATAGGATGAACGGATCATATAAACCCGAAGACAAATATAATACAAGCCCAAACGAAAAAATATAAACAAGTCTAAATTGAAAACAACGTTCAAACCTATGATTGCGTTGGATAAAAACCGCAATTTCTATACGTGTGCATGCAAAACAAACTTCTTTGTAGAGGGGTCTAAATACAGCACAAACAACATTTTCCAAAAGACCAAAAAAGTGAAAAAGTATATTTTAACAAAACGCATTTGACTAGCAGGTCTAACGGATGTTCTTAAACCACGCTGACTGCCATGGCGATTGCCAAATAAACGGATAACAGATGTAACACAATGGATCTTAATTATTAATTTAATACCAGACAGAAAACAATAAACTTGCGGAAAAGATGGTATACCGCAAACATGAGGTGCAAAAATTTGTACACCATCTCCAGATTTCATATATATATATATATATATATATATATATATATATATATATATATATATATATAATGTTTTTCTCGTGCTAACAACATCAGCCGAGATGAACTTTTACAATATAAAGTCAAAAAGGTCAACAGGAGGGTGCCTTTTGTGTTGACTTACCATCCAAAATTTGACAACTTATCTCACCTAATCCGCGAAAATTGGAAAGAAATCGAAAAACATCCTAAACTATCCAAGATCTTTCCCGAGCCACCTGTACTGGCTTTCCGTAGGCCCAAAAGCCTTAAAGACTTGCTGGTGAGAGCTGATTTATCCTCTCAAGCAGGCTCTTCGTCTGTGGGCTCTTGCAAGGGTTGCGGAAACAAACGATGTCTGACTTGCAAACAAATACTGGTTACCCAGACTTTTAACAGTCACTCCACTGGTACAGAATACACCATATTTTGCAATGTTAATTGCAAGACTACAAATGTTGTGTATCTCCTACAGTGTAAATGTGGTAAACAGTATGTTGGCGAGTCAGAACAGCCGTTTCACAAACGAATGAACGGTCATCGTAGCGACTACCAATGCAAGCCAGACCTCCCTCTCAGTCGACATTTGAGATCCCCTGTCCTAACTAAGGCAGATCTCAATCGACTGACCATTACAATCATTGACCACAACTCTGCTTGGTCTAGGGAGGATAGACTCACTCGGGAAAGATTTTGGATGAGAAAATTAACAACTTTGGCACCAAATGGGATAAATGAAAAGATGTAGTTCGACTCCATGCAGTGCTTCACATTTGGGTTATATTACTTTTTATTACAGTCTCTGTTTCTATTTCTTTACCTTACTCATCTCTAAAATAAATCTGTTGAATATACCAATTTAAATTGCTTAATTTTTTGAGGGATGTAAAAGTACCAAGCCACGTTCAACTAGTTAACCTTAGTCAAAATTTATTATTATATTTTAACGGCCGTTTGTTTGCGATGTTTAAATACGCAGACTCTGTTGCAACTACTCTACCGTTGTCAAATTTGAAATATTTACAAATTTAGATCGTTCAGTGCTGTTTATTTGGAATTCTTATTGACGCAATCGTTCTTGTAACATCATAACTGTCGTCACCGTTAAAGCTTTAGAATTGTGCTAGTTCATATCGCACATTATTATTTTTATTTAAAGCATATATTTGAACTCTCTGTTGTAATTAGTCATATAACCTATGTCGTGTTTAACACATATTTAGAATTGTGAAAGCGTCTTACCTGATGTTCGGTTTGACATTTTTATTGTATAAATTTCAAGATTGGTATAGTTTAATCTAAGTAGACTGATATATGATTCATTCAACATCACAATCATATTTACTGATGAAGGATATCTATTATCCGAAATATTTATAAAAAATTACATTTATAGTTCCTTTTTTTGTTATTGGTGTTGTTGTGCACACTTTTTAGGCGTTTATATATATATATATATATATATATATATACAAGTCTAAATTGAAAATAACGTACAAACCTATATATACAGTAAAGTTAATAAGAAAAACTGATTATAAGAAGGTTCGTACACATACAATCATTTTTTAAACATAAAGGTAAATAAATGATAAAAGGATTGTACTTACTCCTGTCATTATTTGATGTATTGCGTATTTGTTGTGTACTTGCTGTCTTATTAATCATGATAGTTACCCCCGCATTTCCGTTTATTCCTAATAACAGACAAACAACCACTAAAGCAATGGCAGCCTGATATCTTTGAAGATTTTATACAAAGGTTGGAATAAAGCAATAATGTCAACATCAATTGCTTCTTGGGTATAGATTAGCCGTTATAAAATATAAGTTGATCCATGATCTCTCTTTATATTCATTGTATTGAGAAATAAAGTTGAGGATATTGCATTTTGATTTTGATTTCGGTGTGCAATAGAGTCATGTTAGAATGAAACAGAGGAAAAGCCAGAAAGACATGCGGTTTCCTCTTATTGGCTGCCATCAATGTGAACTTTAACAAATTCATACACTTTTTATTGAATTAAAAGGGCTACGAATTTATTTTTGTATTTGCCTTTATCCAGACAATGGGTTAAACGCGAGAAAGAAGTCGTCGATAATCTTTCCGAATGGATTAAGGCTGTGAGGTCGTTGATACAAATCAGAAATAAAAAACTGAATTGGTATATGAATACCCATGCTACATCAACATTTAAAGACCCAAATGTTGCAAAACACCTGTCTTACCTCCATGACAAATATGGTGTTGTCTCCGCAGATAAAGCCCCCCAAAACATCGTTTTTATGTGTAAATAGAGAATATCATATGTCTTTTTCAATATCACATCCGTATCAACCCGAGACACCAATATAATCCCAAGAGCTCTGCTCGAGGGATTATATTGGTTGAGGGTTGATACGGTGTGTGATATTGAAAAAGCCATATCATATACACTTTATTATATACAAATACCTCACGTCGATGTTTTTATGTGACATGAAGTCATAGAGGTAAGGAGGTTTGAAATGACGTCATACAGATTATAGGTTTGACATGACGTCAAAAGATTAGGGGTTTGATAAAGCCATTGCAACAGTGACTGCAATCGATGACGTGACTTCATACAGATTAAAGGTGTGATAAAGCCTTTACAACCGTTCTGATATCGATATCATCACGGGTGGCTGATACAGCACGCTTGCCAATGATTGTATTACACATACAATGTATCTGTATTTACTACTAAGTATATAATAAATAACATTACATAATAGAAAAAAAATGGATATGGGTATCCGTGACGCAAAATCAGTACATACACAGCGGGAAACATAAAAAAAGCAAAGGAACAGCGCTTTTATTGCTGTTCTAAATCTGTAAGTCACAGTGATGCCTTCAACACGAAGCAAAACAAATTCTCATGTCAATGCATACACTGCTTGATAAATGAATTAAGTATTGACAATTCACTTGGAAATTCAACATATACCCCCACGACATTTACCAAGGAGGAAACCCAGGATAATCATACGTATGTTCTATTTGGAATTTCAACCAAAGATAAAGAACTGGATCTTATCACTGTATTGGATACCTAAACTACTTGAGCGTTCTTACAAACAACGGTATATTGCTGGGTCTTCCAAGAGCTCCACGAAACCTCTTTCTAAATTTCCAACATTAATTTTATCAGCAATCAAAGCCGGGCTTCAAAGTTATTGTGCAACTACCTAGTCTACAGGTGACGTGAATCATATGTGGATACTAAAATATTCCAAAGATCTTTTAGAATACATACAATGATCTAAGAATCTGTCATCTTGCAATAGTATTAAAACATTTGACTTTTCTACACTTTGCAAAAGTATTCTTCATTCCAAACTAAAAGACAAATTGAAAGAGTTGATCCTGGTTTGTTTTATAAAACAAAAATGGCCAACGTAGATACAAGTATCTTGTTTTAGGGAGGGATGATCGTACTTTTTAAAAAATCACTCTGATTCAAACAAAAAAAAATCTGAAACTGACATTATCAAGATGCTTGATTTCTTGATTGACAACATATTTGTTACGTTTGGAGGACATGTTTTTCAACAAACAATCAACATTCCCATGAGAACCAACTGTGCTTCTCTTCTTGTCGACTTGTTCTTTTATTCATATTAGGCTTGCTTCATACAATAGCTTTTTAGGAAGAGAGAAAAGAAGTAAGTAGTATCCTTTCACTTCCTTTTCCGCAAGATGATGATTTTCTCTCAAAATTTGGTGTCTAGCCTTTTAACGAATGTGACCTACCGAATAAGACTATTTACCGGATTTGTAATAGCATAAGCAACACGACGGGTGCAACATGTTGAGCAGGATCTGCTTACCCTTCCGGAGCACCTGAGATCACCCCCAATTTTCGGTGGGGTTCGTGTTGCTTAGTCTTAAGTTTTCTATGTTGTGTCATCTGTACTATTATTTTTCTATTTGTCTTTTTATTTTTGGCCATGGCGTTGTCAGTTTGTTTTCGATCTATGAGTTTGACTGTCCCTCTGGTATCTTTCGTCCCTCTTTCTTGAACACCTGAGATAAAGGATACAACAGATACAGTTAAGTCTGCCTCATATCTTGACTTACATCTAGAAATTGACAATAGGGCTGGTAGTAAACAAAACTTTACGACAAAAGAGATGATATCAGCTTCCCAATTGTGATCTTTCCATTTCTATGTAGCAACATTCCAGCAGCGCCTGCATATGGAGTATATATCTTCCAGTTGATACGATATTACAGGGCTTATAATTCCTTTCATGATTTCCTTAATAGAGGATTGCTGTTCACAAGGAAGCTATAAAACAAGAGTTCTAAGTGGTGAAGTTGAAATCATCCCTTCGTAAATTTTACGGACGCCATCACGAGTTGGTTAGCCGTTATGGATTAACTGTTTCACACATGACGACGGGTATTACCCTATTGTCGTAACTACAAAATCCAGTCCACTTTTCCTCGAATGTGATCTATCGAATTAGACTAATCATCGGGTTTGTACTTACATGAGCAACTCGACGGGTGCCACGTGTGGAGCAGGATCTGCTTACCTTTCCGGAGCACCTGAGATCACCCCAAGTTTTTGGTGGGTTTCTTGTTGCTCAGTCTTTAGTTATCTATGTTGTTTTTTTGTGTACTGTTGTTTGTCTGTTGGTCTTTTTCTATTTCAGCCATGACGTTGTCAGTTTGTTTTCGACTTATGAGTTTGAATGTCCCTTTTATATCTTTCGCCTATCTTTATCGCGTTCAATTGTAGATATTAGAACAGTAAATGCAGTCTTTTGTTTTTGTTCTTACCGTACCACGGTCCCCTTTTTACTTTTTATTGCAGACATTATGATGTTGTTCTTGTTGCATGCACAAGGGTATATATTTTACGTCATCAATTCTATAAATCAATTATATTTGCAATTTCTACGATACAAACGTGTAAAAGAATACGTTGATTTGAAAGAGGGATAGAGAATTTTATGCATGCTAATTATGAAGGACGGTTTAAATTTCCTAACTATCTATTTAGTATCAATTAAATTTAAAACTTATTTCATTTACAACAAAGGATGTTAAAAAGTACTATTATTATGTTTTAGTTTCTGTCTATTCCTGTCTTTTGGTGACTTCTTACGAAAAATGTCTCTCAATATTGATATAGTTTAATGACATGCTATAATATATGCGTATATTGGTCTCCATAAATGGTGGTCGTAACTTAATATCATTCTACTGAACTACGAGAAAACCCCATATATTAAACGCAGTCTACCAAAAAGCATTTAACAACATCCTGTTACATCAAATTATTGATTGATACTCCTTAGTTACAGAACATGTTCAGTGAATTTATGAACTTTGTTAACTGTGCACCGATACGTAAGATACGATTTTTTCCCGAACTATCTTTAGTTGTGAAAGTCCGCTTCATTTTTTTAGCTTAATGAAACCATGTCATTTGAACTGTCAATGCAAAAACTTAATTAGTTTTAGTTTGTGCAATTTGATTAAAGAAATTAAAAGAACCATGTTTTCTTCAAAACTGGACATCTCTTATTCTCCGATAGGTCAAATATATTTACTGCAGTTTATTATTTTGACACAATGGCCACAATTCAAAATGCCTTTCTCAAAATGCAGTTAAATCTTAAAGATTTCTGAGAAATCGTAAAACATTTCCCTTTCATTTGTCTGTTTTTGATAAGGATTTTTAATTAACATATTTTTTTTCTGAAGAAGATTGCATTTGCTTTACAGACATTTCATGATCTTTATGGCATAACAATGAAGATAAACCCAATCATAATTTGTGCTGTACCAACCCAGGTTATCTTGACCATGTGTTCCTTGTTGTTGTTCAGAGGGTGTTGCTGTGAGCTCTCAAACTAGGCTAAGCCATAAATTAGGGAATACTTGTCATCTTTCTATTGCAGTATAATGCTATTCGGTCGAAATAATTCCATATTCAAAATCAATGTATACATATGAATCTAGAAAATAAATGTTATACTTTGTTCCCTGAAAACCTAAAATCCATAAAAAAAATCTTGTCTATCTTGGAGCTTTCCTTGTATCAAGAATTGTTACATAAAAATTTAATAGAAAACCACAAAGTAGAAAAAAATGACAAATAAAAAATGACTTTGGAACATATACACCGGAATGCTTGGAATTGATGCAAGTTTAAAATACAAAAAGACACAGAACCGCTAGCACCTTTCTTGCAAACAAATTTGTTTTTTTATCGATCCAAGGATATCGTTTATTGACACCTTTTTGCCGACTGTATAAACACAATGTCTATGGAAGGCACATAAATCGTTTTCTTTGTAATAAAATGTTCGTGACAGTTTTACTACGTATAAATTAGACATACTTGAGACACGATTCAGTTCTTCGAAAATCCTGGTGTTTTGAAGATGCTTCCCATACAGAAAAACTACAACTGTTTGTGTTTGACCTCTTGGGAAAGCAAGCAGGCTTTTGTATAAAGATTTTAGCAATTTTCGAAGTCTGCTAGATTTTGTTATGCCTGGTTGCAGGTTATTTAAGAACACGTGTCTTCTTTGGGGCGTTGTTACATCAGGTTGATTTAATAAAGAAAAGACCATCTTTGTTTTGTGAACATCAAATTGTTTTGCCATAAGCGCTATACTTTTTCGTAACTCTTTATCAACGTTGGCAGTAGTAACCTGATCATAAACAAAAGTTAGACGGGATAAAAGTTGTTTCCTTTCTCCTGAAATAACAAATTAGTGTGCTAAAACATCTTTCTTATAAATAACAAATAAGTGTGCTATATCATCTTCTAATGATAGTAATTTGACTCCGCTACTTGTTCATTTGCTTGAACCGAGTTAGGAAACTCGTCATTGGTTTTTCATGGAATATGATGCATGTATTGATGGCAACTCATATCTACACAGAAGATGATTTAGATCACGACATAGCGTATAAACACCTGCCTATTTGACGACCTCTTGGTGACTTTTGGTGTTTTTTTGTTTGGGTTGCTATCCTATTGACGCATATCCCACACCTCTGTTATTCATATCATTGCTTATGAATAGAAACCAGATAGGGCAAGTAAATTTTTGAGACTATTCATGACATGACATAGGTTATAACTTCAAATGTGTAGTATCTAATTGTACACTAAAATATTATAAATTTTAAAGTCAAATACAGGTGTGCCTGTTCATAATACTAATCAAGAATTGTACAACATCAAAGTAATTAAATTTGTTTTGATATTGCTGTTTTTTACAAAGATGAGAAAGCCAAAGATAAATTAATTCAAATATATACAATTCTGTAATATTGACTATTGGGTTGATTGTATCTTCTGGTTCATTACATTTGCGCATTAAAATCATTATTTTTGTGGTTCACATTTAATGCCTTCTATTCATCATGAACGTTCAAAGGCAACACTGAGAATGCCAAAAAAGTCAAAATACACGCGGTATGAAAAGGTAGCCTAAACTTTTATAGGTTAACTTTGATTGAGGCAACTGCACCCTTATAGTTTTGGTAAAATTATAAAATTTATCAGGTAAAAACTTATGTTAAAAATAAGCGTTATATGTGAAATTTTATAAGTAAACTTTGATTGAGGCAACTGCACCCTCATAGTTTTGGTAAAATTATAAAATTTATCAGCTGAGAACTTATCTTTAAATTGAATGTTATACGTGAATTTCATGGCCAATGTTACAACGTTGACTACTGGTAAATGATACCTACAGTAACTTACAGTTCATCAGCAGTACTATATCGGTACTGTACGTTTTTTAATTTTAGAAAATAATTGCATTCGATATACAAGACTCACCTCTGTCTTTTTTGGTAACTGCTTGCTTTGATTCTGCAATAAAACAATACAAGTTTTAAAAATAGGGAGGTATATGCTAACGTGGATGATAAGGAAGCTATTTTATGAAATTTTAAATGTTTCGTATTAACTGTCATTTCAAGTGACCGCTGTTAATTCAAAGCCCTATTAAATCTTAATTTTTTCATATTCTTATGTGCATCAAATTAATACAAATTAAAGCAGCCAAAGCCTACTAGAGAGGTCTTTCAACTGTGTAATTTTCATTTTTCCTGACGTAAATTCTGCATTAAAAACTTATATCGTTGGTAATACAAAAAAAAAACATTAAGACCCCAAAACATATACTTAGTATTCGCTTAAAAAACGTAAAACACGAATTTTCTGTTATTTGTTAGTTGATTTAAGCATGTTGAGAACATATTCTTGTGATCGGTTATTGGATAACCTTCACAAAGAACACTCACAGCCAATCTTTTTGAAAAGAATAATGGAAATGCAGGTGTGGGATATTTCCGCTTTCTAAAATTTCTCGTTTTGAGACGGCTCACTCATTTGGATTTAGTTGCATAAGTAGCAATGGTTTTTCAATGGAGATCAATTCTAACATTTTGTTAATTTTTTTGTTTGTTTGTTTTGTTTGCTATTGATATTCTATCTTTTTTTCTCTCAAATAAACAGTTACAGACCTTTGCATGTTTTATACGTTAAGTCATCAATAATTGTTTTCAAACTTCCAAAGTTGTCAACACTAAACACAAATCTTGACGATGGTGTACTCGCTATAGCCTGTAGTTCAAATCTGTCGACACCACTGCTTACACCAATCACGATAGTTTTTACTTCTTCTTGTTTTAATAATTTTGACTCATAAATTGTTGCTGTTTTATTTTCTGATATTCCATCCGTTATCAAGATTAAAATATCTGGTGCAAGCTTACGTCCTCCATTTCGTGCGGAAAACATTATGTCGCGTGCATATGCAATTGCTTCAGCAGTGTGGGTTCCTTCCCCGACATAGGACACTCTTTTTATGCCATGTTTTAATGATTTTTTATCAACAAACGTATTCAGATGGAATGCTGGATAAACGTGATAGCTAAATGTTAAAAGACCGACTCTCACTTCATTTTCTGATATTGGAAACTTATCAACTACTTGCTCAACAAATTGCAATTGTTGAAGGAATTGCTCCCGATGAATGCTCGCAGAGGAATCGAGTGCAAATACTATATCAGCAATAGGTCTTCTTCTACAGTAATATGTATCCTTGTTAGACAGCACTGTAATTATTAATGAAAATGTATTGTTGTAACTTTCATTGAAATCATGCATGGAGAAATTTTGTCAAAAATAAATATTTTTCTATATGAATGCAACAATTCGAAATATACTATTCATTACAATATTAAGTTATCAAAAAAAATATAAATAAATTTTGTAAGAACTTTCCTGTGTTCATACTTAAAGTTAAAATATTTCAAATCAGGTTAAAGAGTATTAAGAAATTCAAATACATTTTTTCATCTTTTTTTATTATATTCACTTGAATTCAAAACAAAAATTTAGCATTTTCATTACAAATCAAAAATATGATATTGCCTTTTGTATTTTGTAAAATACAAGCTTGATTCTTATATACTATGGTAAGAAAATAACACTAGATACCAGAAGAAAGTGCGACTTGCAAAGAGATTCTGATTAAGCTTTTGATCTAAAATGCTATAAAAGTTTACAACTTTATGGATTTGTATTCATATGTTTAATTACTTACCAAAATAAAAATGATGAACAATCTGCAATTATATAGACATGGAAATTATAATAAACTTAAAAAATCAAACAAGCAAACAAACAATTAAAACATACATGCACATTTAACTTGAGGCAAAGAAGATACCTGGTAAGAAAACATGAATAAGAACTATGTAAAACAAAAGGGAAAAATATGTAATCGAAACACTACACAAAAAGGCACAATATGAACCCTGCGAAACCGGGCTTGATCGTCTGGTGCCCCAGAATTGTTACAAAGAAGACGGGATCCAGTTTTTTTTTAAACAAAGGGCACGATTCTTAAGCAATATATTTCAGATAATCGTAACTGACTTCACATTTCACATTGCAAAATTATATCAAAAAAGGTCGGCCAGAAACTCGACAATGAACATTTGATTCATGCATTTTTTGTTCAATGAAAGAAATATCCTTGCTTCCATTCTTACTACTGATTCCAAACAAATTAATTACTTTCTATAAGGTTTTACTTAATGTATAAAATAACTTTTACTGCGCAAATTCCCATCTTGACAATCAAGTCTCTTCAGGAATGCACGAGGCCAAACTATTGGAAAATCCGAAACCTAATTCCAACGTTTACTTGCTGATAAGAACTTATTTCAGAAAATTAAATAAACATATTGAGATATATACTTTAGTTCATCTTTTCTACAATATATCTTACAGTCTTCCAAACAGAAATATGTCAAAGGAGATTTTTTTTTCTGACAGCATTTAAAATAATGATTGTGTATTTGTGTAACAAAAGTTGAAATTAGAAAACAAAGTCAAGCAAATACTCCATGGAGTTCTGTATAACAGTAGTTTTACTAATACAGAGTATTTATTAAAGACTCTCTGATATATTTATTATCATGATACTGACTAATTAATCACAAATAGCAGCAAATTACCACTTCAATTCAATTGTTTGATACTTTAATCAAATAATGCTTATGTAAAATATATATTACATAATAACTGATAAATTAATACATAATACATAACTGAAAAACAAACACACTTAAAATGTTTATAAACACCTACAATTGCTCTGAAAATTTTACTAAGTTAGATTTTTTATTACACTTTATTCTATTTTTTTTCTTCTAAATTTATATAAATGTATCGAACACCCAAATGAATTTTCCTTAAATTTAAAGCTGAATTGGATATTATTTCAAGCACAGTTCGGAAAATAAAATGATTCAATCGGAGTTTGACAAGGATTGATCTCAAATTAGGTGTTTCTGATAGTGTCTAATATACAAAATCCATTTCAGGAGAGATAGAAGTTAAAAATGAGACATTTTTTTTTTTAAATTGAAGCAACCCCAATGATATTTAATTGTTTCTGTTTTTGTTTTTTGGTTTGATTCATTCTTCGCGGTTTCTAACCTTTAGAATAAAAGTCTTAAACATAACCTCTTAACCAAACCTTCTTTAGCCATAAATATTAATTTAATCAGAATTAAGACTACGAAGATTAATTTATAGTTAATTATGTGTGTGATGTATAGTTAACTAACAGTCTAACGATCTATTTCAAACATCTTTTTAAATACCCTCTATAAAAGTAAGGAGGTGTGGTATGATTGCACATAAACAATTATCAACAAAGAGTCCAAATGACGTGAATGTCTATTTATGTCGATATGGCAAATACTCTGTATCTCCTTTTAATTAATTTGTTATTCGTTATTTTAGAAAATGTTGAATACTTTCCCTTTCAATAACCTATTTACAAATGTATTCATTTTTTGCCCTCATTTATGTGTTGTCCTATGTTTATCATATTATGCAGTACAGGTATATATCATACCTGTGTAGTAAAGAAATAATAAATGCATATTGAAATACAAAATTAATAGTTTATCTTACCATAAAAAATATAATAGTACGAAAGTGAAACATGATCCAGTCACTGAACCTCATAGTATCAATTTCTGAAAGATCGTCTTCTAAACATCACATCTTAAAAATAAAGTCAAGGTCGACCTAATAAGACAAACTTTATTCCCAAGCGAGTTTGATACATGTCGTTTTCGGCTCTTATCATAAATTTACCTAACAAAATCAATAAATATGACCTCATCTTAAAATTTATGTCTTTTTTCACTTTCACGGCAAAGAAATTGGAATACCAAGAAAAAAAGTCATCAAATGGGAAACTTGTAACATATAATTCCGCCTTCCTTCACTTATTTATAGTTGAAACATAACTTATATATCTTTATATGCCTTTAAGTTCTGTACAAATATACGTTGGACATAGCGCAAGGTCGTGTTTTTCGCACTGTTCATAACAATGCTGAATAAAACTTCTTCAAAGTACAACCGCCTATATTAGAAAACAATCAATGACTTTCAGCATCAGAGAATGCTTACAGTTAAGGTGAGAATTCTTTGATTAATACCATTTAGTGGTTTTCTACTTGTACATGTGTATTTGATGTCTCCAATTCATTAGTACTAGTATACAGGTACTAGTAGTTAAATACCTTTGCCGTTCTAATTTACGTACAATATAAATCTAGATTTTTTTTTTAACTAAACATTCATTTTGTGTTGATAATGTTTTACAATTTCGGATTAAAGGGTAATATTGTAAAATATTAATGTCGCAATGTAATTACTAAATTTCAGAGGATCACTTTAACACAGCACGATGAAAGTTTCCAGGAAGCTTATAATCCACGAGTCCTAATAGTAAAGTTCGAAAGTTTTATGGACGTCGTCATGATTGGGTTGACCATTAAGGAATATCTGTGTCACAGATGACCACGAATACATGTGTGTTCCACTTGTCGTAATCACAGCCGGTCCTCTTTTTCTGATTTGTGTCATCACCGAATAAGATTCATCACTGGACTTTATGGTTTTTGGTAGTATGTGAATAAAAGGTATATTTAGAGAGTTCTCTCGCAAAGTTTTTATAGTTTTTTTTGACAAGATTGTACGGAACCTTACAGTTTGTTAATCTACCAAAGACTCAAATTTAACTTTTTCAGGGTAGTTTTTTTGTTTGTATCTGGTATTTGATATTACTAATATTATTACGGCCAACTTTCTGATACTAAATGCTCAATATGATGACACGACTGACACATGTTATACCGTTAGTTTGCGCAAATGAATTGATAAATGCCATTCACTTGGGACCATACGTGGAAAACTAACTATACTTCATTACGGTTACTGGATGATACGAATGAAATGCTTTATTTTCTTTAATATACTTGCCAACATTTTAATGTTAGTACTGTCTCTTCTCTAAAAATACTTTTAAAACAAACTTATTATATAGGAACTAACTTAAATCTACCTTTGTTTGTTGAAAATGCGTATTCTACTAATTTCATAGCATCAAGTACAGGCATTGTTACAAAATACAGACAAATTTAATGTCGTTTTTAGAAAAAAAATTGTCTCTCCGTAAACATTCCTTGATGTGGTTGCTTTTTAAAAGCCTAACCACATCAGTTTATTTCAGGATCACGTATGTAGGCATTTAACCACCTGATTTGGGAGGGGTACTTCGCCATATTCATAAAGTATATATTTTACACGTAGATTATTAGATAATTGATCTCACAATTTATCACAGAAGCATTTGCTTCATTAATCTACAGAAAACACTATAAATGAAACTTGCGTAATGCGAACTACCAATTCGGAAGTAGTCATGATTATGGGCCCTGGAAAGATTTTGAATATTCCTGTCCTCATTTCGACGTCTGTTTTGTAATTTTATAGGAATATCCATGACAAATATGGTTCTATACAACACATTTACAGGAAAACTACGTCTGACAAAGAACTTTTAAAAAGCCAATAATTGTAAGCACGAACCAACTTTAGATATATACTTTACATATGAAGTGCACATCTAATCTCGAAAAGTTTGCTTCTGGTTGTATAAAGTCTGATTTTATACCACAATTTATATATATATTGTTTTAATTTATACTGCAGTGTAAATTTGACAAAGCTTTGTCAAACGGTTTGAAGCTATGCATGGCAATGTTTTGTTTTTTCCGTGTTGTAGTAATATCTTGTTCATGTCGAAATTCTGGAATAAGACTTATCCTAGAGATACAGTAAAATTACAAAAAAAAATGTAACGTCTGTGTACCAAAAACAATTTTAAGCTCAGATTTTTTCAAAATGAATAAAACCCAAAGGCTTGATCATGGTATAGAAATATGATAAACTGGCCTTCTCCCACCGCGACAGTAAAACCAATGATGCGTTCGTTTTGCTGTGCAGAATTAATAAATATTTAGCCACGCCCGGAAGAAATTTAGCCGATAAACGCGATGCTTCGTATTAGATAGTGTCATGTTTTCTTCACGCCAAAGAAGCTTTGCAACAAGTATTTGAGGGGTTCTTAAATGCGATTAAATTTCTTCCCCTATCAAAAATACCCTTTCACAGGGAAGCCAAATTATCAATCATTCGTAGTATTTGTCAATGCCACAGCAACTCAACAACTCGAAAACTAAATTAATTTTGTGTGTTTATTGCGTATTATAATTTTTTTCACTGCTTATTTAAAGAGCTAATAGCTTACAGTATCTTCGTTTAAAAACTATGATATTAAGATTTAATGGTACTTCATGCCTGTAGATAATTCTTAAAATTTTCCATTGATTTGTGTTGGAGTTTGTTGCCTTGATATAGTTTAGGTTTTTTTTTTGGTGAATTTGTGTTGTTGGATTGCTGTATCTTTGGCTTATAGTCAATATCAGAATGTATTGATTCATCAATTTATCGTTTGTTTTTTCACTGAGAATCATAGCTAGAAGAGTACACCACTAAGGTAAAGGATCAAGAAAACAAACACATGTATTGAGATAAAAAGACAAACGGGAGTTAGAAACATCACACATCAGCGTACGGTTAATAAAACCAGACTGTGTGCAGGCGCACGATGCGGATTATAAAACCAGGTTTTTAAAGGTTGAATAAAGATGACTAAAAACGACACCAACTGAATTAAGGGTGTATTCTTCTGATGTTTCAGTCTCGTTGAAATCTCGTTCGGTTATTATTTCCAAAACATGTGATCCAAGTGGAAAATATCAATGAATTTTAAAAATATTATAATCAAACTAAACTATGTGAAAAAATTGTGTACTGACAATAGTAGTTTTTGAATGATAAAATTTTCAATCTTTAAAAGCAATCCGGTCAGTGTAATTAGCCAAAATGTTGAGAAAATGGGTGAAGTGTACAAAGAAATGATTCTACCAAAAATATGTACTTCCATATCAATTTTTTTCTTTTAAAAATTCTTAGATATGTATTTATTCAATCATTCATAGCACAGAAGTTGATATAATATGCTTTTTGTTCTGAAAAAGAGAGAAAAATCCCAAATTTACAACATTTACAGCATGGTCAAATTGACACACAAAAAGCAACGAAATTTTATAAAACTTTCTTATATTCATACCTTCCTAAAGTTTTTTTGAAGTTAAGTTTATTCAGATTGGTCCACTTCATCTTAAGTGAAAGCATGAAAAAAAGTTTAATTGTGAAACTGTGATTTTTTTCATGATAATAGTAAAAAAAATGGGTAAAAATTGATGAAAAATGGGAAAATCATAACAATGGGATACTTTCAAACGGCAGAAGCAAAAAAATAAGTGCACCACCATATGATTTTTTCTTCGTCAATTACTTTCTGACAGTCATATAAACCCAAAAAATCAGGTTAAGAAAAAAAGTTTAATTCTAGAAATTTTTGGCTCCTCAGAGGTGTACATCCTTAAGGAAATAACATGAAGAGTTCATACAAAATTTTAAAAATCAGAACACTTTTAAATATAACAAATATAGAAATGTAGGTTGCCAAAGAAACGATGAAATTAGATTGACAATATACAAGAAACATAACTTGGCAACTTAGAAGTAAAACACATGAAATGGATGTAATATAAACAAATATAGGACCAAAGCATGTGAACAAACAAATGATAAATCAAACCTAAATGCTTGTCTTATATTGACCATAATATACACAAGTGGATTGTGTGTTCAAAGGTTACAATACCTAAATATACCGATCTGCCACTTGCAAATAGATCGACATGCCACATGCTATACCTATCGTATGGTGTTAAACAGCAACAAAATCACTATTTAGCCCTATGCAGAGGGATTGATGGGGGCAAATCACCAAGAGGCGAAAAAAGGTTGATACGGTACGAAAATTCATTTCACTTAAGCGAATATAAAATAGACATCCGAGCCCTCTTTTTTAGTCTTCGATACATCACTTCACCGAAATTGTTTCTGACATTACATTTCAATAATTATTTTATACTTGGTTTGAAAATAACGAAGAAGGATAAAGTTAAACGACGGAATATGCATTTGCATTGAAGCGGACATCCAGCGAAAAAATATAATGTGTAAACGACATGACAAATGTTATGATATTACTAAAAGGAAAGATATCCATCAAATAATAAAGTACGCAAATTCAATATATTTTTTATTAAAACAAAACCTTTAAAAAATCATATAAATATTAAACTATACAAAATATAATGGTTTTCTATTACAATTTTAACTCTTAATCATTCTTTAATTCAACATGAATTAAATTTAACTGCTGTTTTGGTAAAGACTATGGGTTGTTGACCCTCACAATCAAAAAGTATATTAATGTATAAAAATGGAATATTAACAAATCACAATACTTATTAACAAATAGTTTTGAACATGTCCAATACTGTTTAAGGCAAATCGTTATAGCTTTCCTGATGGAACAAACATTGACTATATTTGCAGAGTTTTTCGGCTTCTTCTTTGCTTATGTATTCACCAATTGACATCACATAAACGTCACTTTTAAAAGCAGTGCGCTCTGCTTCCTTGGATGCAGTTCCAATAAAATTTAAACTGTCATCAACAAACATAACGGTAATGGACCTATACCTTAAAGTTCTTTACAAATATACATTGGACATAGCGCAAGATCGTGTTTTTCGCACTGTTCATAACAATGCTGAATAAAACTTCTCTAAAGTACAACCGCCTATATTAGAAAACATTGAATGACTTTCAGCATCAGAGAATGCTTACAGTTAAGGTGAGAATTTTTTGATTATACCATTTAGTGGTTTTCTACTTGTACCTGTGTATTTGATGTCTCCAATACAGTAGTACTAGTAAATAATAGTAGTTAAATACCATTGTCTTACTAATTTTGATGGTACGGTCTTTTATATACTTAGTACCTTTTTTTATGCCACTGGTGAATTAAAAGAGGAGAACTGAGTGCTAAAAGGAACTAACACATGTGCGCGTGTCGTCCAAAGTCAGAAATCCTATCATCGTTGTCCTTATTTCTATCTCAATAGTTTTGTTCTGTTTGGTTTTCATGACAGTTATTATCAAATTTATTCACATCTTTTGTTCTATACTAGGGGTCGGTTTACAGTTTGACATATTCTACAGATTATTATTGAGTATCAAATTACAACCCTTATATTTTGTTCGGTTATTTATACTTTTGTGTTGCTGTCTTACTTATAACGGTACATCCCACTTCTCTTCTTTTGTTCATATTTCTATATCAGGCGTATTGAATTGCAACTACCTGTCATTAATTCTCTCCTTTGTAGCCTTGAGACGTACAATATAAATCTAGATATTATTTTTTTTTACTAAATATCCATTTTGTGTTGATAATGTTTTACAATCTCCATTTAAACATATGGATTACAGGGTAACATTGTAATATTATGTCGCAATGTTACTACTAAAATTCAGAGGATCACATTAACACAGCACGATGAAAGTTTCCAGGAAGCTAATTACCCACGAGTCTTAGTAGTAACGTTCGAAAGTATTATGGACGTCGTCATGATTGGGTTGATCGTTAAGGAATTTACCACGGATATATGTGTGTTCCACTTTTGTACCACATCCGGTCCTTTTTCTGGTTTATGACATCTACGAATAAGATTCACCACCGGAATTTTATTTGAATTTGAAATAAGCTACACGATGGATGATACAATAAAAACATTGATTGCTTATTATTCTGTAGCATCGGAGTTCACCCCGGTTTTTTTGTTGTTTTCATGTTTTACAGTCTTTAGTTTTGCACTGTACAGTGCTTTATGGACTGCCTGTTTGTCTTTTATCTATTGACATAGTGTTGAATGTCGACTAGGTCTTTCTTAAACTTATGGCTTTTGGTAGTGTGTGAATAAAAGGTATTTTTAGAGCTTTCTCTCGCAAAGTTTTTATAGTTTTTTTACAAGATTGTATGGAGCCTTACAGTTTATTAATCTACCCAAAACTCAAATTTAACTTTTTTAGGGTATTTTTTTGTTTGTTACTAATATTATTACGACCAACTTTCTGATACTAAATATGATGATGCGGCTGACACATGTTACAGTTTGCGCAAATGAATTAATAAATGACATTCACTTGGGAAAACGTTCAAGCTAACCATGCTTCATTACGGTTACTGGATGATTACAATGAAATGCTTTATTTTCTTTAATATACTTGCTAATATTTTAATATTACTGTCTCTTTTAAAACAAACTTATTATATAAGAACTAACTTAAATTTTACCTTTGTTTGTTGAAAATGCGTATTCTACTAATTTCATAGAATACAAGCATTGTTACAAAATACAATGTAGTTCTTAGAAAAAAATTGTTTCTTCGTAAACATTCCTTGATGTGGTTGCTTTTTGAAATCCAACCACATCAGTTTATTTCAGGATCACGTGTGTAGGCATTCAACCAGCTGATTTGGGTGGGGTACTTCGCCATATTCATAAAATATCTATCTAAACGTAGATCATTAGATAATTGGTCTCACAATTTATCACAGAGACATTTGCTTCATTGATCTACAGAAAACACTATAAAATGAAACTTGCGCAATGCGAACTACCAATTCGGACGTAGTTATGATTATGGGCCCTAGAAAGATTTTGAATATTCCTGTCCTCATTTCGACGTCTGTTTTGTAATTTTACAGAAATATCCATGACAAATATGGTTCAATACAACACACTGACAAACTACGTTTGACAAAGAACTTTAAAAAAGCCAGTAATTGTAAGCACGAACCAACTTTAAATATATACTTTACATATGATGTGGCCATCAAATATCGAAAATTTTGCTACTGGTTGTATAAAGTCTGTTTTTATACAACAATTTATATATATTTATTTAACTTTATACTGCAGTGTAAACTTGACAAAGCTTTGTCAAACGGTTTGATGCTATGCATGGCAATGTTTGTTTTTCAGTGTTGTAGCGGTTATTTTTATCTGACATTCTACAGGTACCTGGAAACTTCACATAATTTTACATTATTACCGAGTATTATCTTGTGCATGTCGAATTTTTCTGGAATAAAACTTATCCTAGAGATAAGTAAAATTACAAAAACACAATATCTTGATACCAACAACAACAGATTTTTCAAAATTAATAACTTAAACCCAAAGGCTTGATCATGGTATAGAAATATGGTAAACTATATCTCACACCCGACTGGTGCGTTCGTTTTGCTGTGCAGGATTTATAAATAGTCAGCCACACCCGGTCGGAAATTGGCCGATAAACGCGATGCCTCGTATATGGATAGTGTTATGTTCTCTTCACGCCAAAGAAGCTTTGCAACAAGTCTTTGATGGGTCCTTAAATGCGATCAAATTTCTTCCCCCATCAAAAATTACCTTTTACAGGGAAGCCAAATAATCTGCCCTTCATCCTGATCGTCATATTCTATCGGACGTTCTAATTGTAATTGGGTGTATTGTTTGTTTGTTCTCAGATTGAAATTTCTTGAAATATTTTCCACTGGTATATTAGCACACAGCAGAGCAGTCAATCATTCGTAGTATTTGTCAATGCCACAGCAACTCAACAACTCGAAAACTAAATTAATTGTGTGTGTTCATTGCGTCTTATAATTTTTTTCAGTGCATACTTTAAGAACTATTAGCATACAGTATCTTCGTTTAACAACTATGATATTAAGATTTAATGGTACTTTTTTGCCTGTAGATAATTCTTAAAATTTTCCATTGATTTGTGTGGGAGTCTGTTGCCTTGATATAGTTTAGGTTTTTTTTTGTGAATTTGTGTTGTTGGGTTGCTGTATATTTGGCTTATAGTCAATATGAGAATTCATTCGTTCATCAATTTATCGTTTGTTTTTTCACTGAAAATCACAGCTAGAAGATTACATCACTAAGGTAAAGTATCAAGAAAACAAACACATGTATTGAGATAAAAGACAAAAAGGAATTAGAAACATCACACATCAGCGTACGGTTTATAAAACCAGACTTTGTGCAGGCGCACCATGCGGATTATCAAACCAGGTTTTTAAAGGTTGAATATAGATGACTAAAAAACGACACCAACTGAATTAAGAAAATAACATAAAGAATTCATACAAAATTCAAAAAATCAGACCACTTTTAAATATAACAAATATAGAAATGTAGGTTCCCAAAGAAACGATGAAATTCGATTGACAATATACTAGAAACATAACTTGGCAACTTATAAGTAAAACACATGAAATGGATGTAATATAAACAAATATAGGACCAACGCATGTGAACAAACAAATTTTAAATCAAACCTAAATGCTTGTCCTATATTGACCATAATATACACAAGTGGATTACGTGTTCAAAGGTTACAATACCTAAATGTATCGATCTGCCACTTGCAAATACATCGACATGCAACATGATATACCTATCGTATGGTGTTAAACAGCAACAATATCATTATTTAGTCCTATGCAGAGGGATTGGTGGGGGCGGCTCACCAAGAGGCGAAAAAAGGTTGATACGGTACGAAAATTCATTTCACTTAAGCGAATATAAAATAGACATCCGAGACCTCTTTTTTAGTCTTCGATACACCACTTCACCGAAATTGTTTCTGACATTACATTTCAATAATTATTTTATACTTGGTTTGAAAATAACGAAGAAGGATAAAGTTAAACGACGGAATATGCATTTACATTGAAGCGGATATCCAGCGAAAAAATATAATCTGTAAACAACATGACAAGTGTTATGATATTACTAAAAGGAAAGATATCCATGAAAAAGTATGCAAATTCAATATATTTTTTATTAAAACAAAACATTTAAAAAATCATATAAATATTAAACTATACAAAATATAATGGTTTTCTATTACAATTTTAACTCTAAATCATTCTTTAATTCAACATAAATTAAATCTAAATGCTGTTTTGGTAAAGAATATGGGTTGTTGACCCTCACAATCAAAAAGTATATTCATGTATAAAAATGGAATATTAACAAATCACAATACTTATTAACAAATAGTTTTGAACATGTCCAATACTGTATAAGGCAAATCGTTATAGCTTTCCGAATGGAACAAACATTGACTAGATGTGCAGAGTTTTTCGGCTTCTTCTTTGCTTATGTATTCACCAATTGACATCACATAAACGTCACTTTTAAAAGCAGTGCGCTCTGCTTCCTTGGATGCAGTTCCAATAAAATTTAAACTGTCATCAACAAATATAATGGCAATGGACCTATGAGAACTAGTTTTATGATGTGATTTCTGGTATTTTATTCTGTACTTCCTTAAAAGATGACTTAACCCATCAGAAGTTTTTGCGTTCAACAAATTTATTAATTCTGATTTTAGTTTGTAATCAGAGAATAGTATATTATTTTGTTTTGAACAGGTTTTCGACAAAACACCAATTTTTACATTATTTTTGTTGAAATCCACTATTTTAACTACTCCACTGATGCTTTTACGAATTATTTTCGATCTGTACAGCCCAACTGCGCTAGAATCGTAAATAAATGTTACGTCTGTGGATCCCGGAAATGAACAAACTGTAACAAAAAAAATATAAGACTTTTCATTTATGATATCAAATTATTTAAAGCATGTCACAAAAGTCTGTAATTTATTGCAGGTTATGTTGTAACTCACATTGTCGAATACTTTGATATGGCTATTCTTTTAGATAGGTAAATCTGTACACTCATCAATATCAATAGTACAACTCGGTTGTGTTTCAATGTTAAAAGTCTCTGTTCTTCATCTTTTACAAATTTCAAAGAAATTCAAATCTGTACAGAGAACAAATGCATCAGAAGAGAGAATAAAAATAACTGATGACAGGTCAAAAGGTTAACTAAGATCAGAACATTATGTCTTTTGTCTTTTTGTTATATTTTTTGTATTTAGCACTGATGTGATGAGTAAAGCTCTTACCTACTGGTGTGTCGTTACATCACTGTCCCATGTTAAGGGAAGGTTGAACGTTCACAAAATGTTTTACCCTCCCACACTTTTTATGTGCCGTTCATGTCAAAATCCTGTAAAAATGGTTGTCGATGGTTGCTGTATGCCATATTTGTTTTTTAATATTGTTGTAGTATAATCCAGGAGGTTGTATTTTCTCTTTTAAATCGTTTCATGTTTTAGTGTTTGAGCGTTCTTGACGAATGTAGATAGAGAAAAGCGCCGCGAGTTTGAACGCACCAAATTTGTAAAGTGTTATTTTCATTGTCATGCCGGGGCCTTTTATAGTTTACTACACAGTATGAGTAGTCATTGTTGACGTATGGTCTCCTGTATTTGTTCGCATCATTGTCATTTCGTCTTTAGGGACAGTTGTTTCATAGGCAATCGTACCACTTCTCTTTGTTTTACATTAAAAAACATGATTTTAAATGTTGATTGACACTTACTGTATTTGTCTGTCTGTAGCCTCCAGTCAGCTTGGACTGAAAAAGAGAAAAAAAGAGTAATTAAATAAATTAATTGCCTATAATTGCTTACATACACATAATTTCAACTCTGGTGGATAGTTGTCACATTGGCAATCATTCAACATCTCCTTAATTTTATATACATATGAAAGGAAATGGAAATTGTATAAAGTACGCCTATTTTGTTTCTGTTATCTCTCTTTTATAGCGAGTATTGTGTAGTTGTACAACACGTTTAATATTTTATTTTGTTTAGATGTATTATATCCCTCAAAAATGTGAAATGTACATTACTAGTACACTTTTCCGATTGAACTGTACAAAGAAGGAGTGGTTGCTCCAAAGGAAGCCTTGTAAAACAATGTGATCTTGAAAGACAATAAAATATCAAATATTTCTAGAGCAAAAAGGATTTTAATACTAAAAAACATTAAAAAAAAACAACAACGATAAAGACTTAAACGTAAAAGCATTTTCCATTGGACCTGTGTATTTTGTGCAAGAAGTGTAAAGGTTGTGTTTTTATTTAATAAGTCTTTTTCAACAGTTATACCAAATACTAAATGGATAATAATAATAAAAAAAAACGTCCGCTAACCTTGACATGTATTCATTACAAGTCTTTCTTTTATAGTAGCAAGAGCATTATAATCTTTGACATGGAACATAAATTTGTTTTTTGGTTCACTGGCTATTTCTTTCAGTTCTTCAAAATCGGATTGTTCTTCAATTCCTACTGACAGGATATGAATCCCTTGTTTTTTGGCCTCTGTAGCTGCAAATTTTGTTTCGCCAGGTTTCTTTGATTTTCCGTCTGTAAAAATAAGCGCTACTCTAGCCGCTTCGGGTCTTTCCTGACTTTCCAAAAACCCATATGAAGTAAGATATCGAAGTGCCTTTGCAGTTTCAGTTCCCCCGGTTAGCTGATTTAACCCCATAATCTTCTTTGTAATTTCTGTACGATTCAATTGGTTGTCAAGAGGCAACATTAAATGAACATCATCGCTGTATGAAATAACACCGATCCTTGTAAAAGTTGGATCGAAGTGAGAAACTACTTCAGTAATAAAATTTAAAACTTTTTTGAAATTTTCTGACCAGATGCTGTTTGAATTGTCTAAAATGAAAAATAGGTCAACTGGTCGCTTTCTGCATTCTGGAAAAGAAAATCGTATTCAATTTTAAAATATAGGTATATATCAGTCAAGGATGTAAACTAAAAAACGATTATAAAAATGTGAATGCTATGTTTTTTGTTTTATTAAATTCAAAATGTGTCTTTGAAGTAAGGTTACGTAAAGCCATCGTGTATATAGATATATTTTAACTTAAGACTATCATGCAGGTGTAAATGAACAATCAACATTATTGTAGTGATATTTTCCAAAGTCACATCGCCTTTCACGTTCATATTAACAACTTTGTAAGGAATTGCAAGATTTGTCTTTTGTATACAATTGACTTTTAACATAATATGAAGGATGTAATATCTATGCAAAATTAAAAGTTGTGCTATCTTAGGTTCAATTTGATATATGCTTTATCATTAAAGTCATAAATATATAAATATTAGATAAGAAATATCAAAGCATTTTTGTGTTGTTAGTACCTATGTTTTTTTACTGAAATAAATCAGCTTACCGTCGAACGTTTCGGCTTGATCATTCTGTACAGGGGGTGACTCATCTGTAAAACAAATAACAGAATGACATAAAAGGTGACACTTTTTACAGATATAAATATCAACTTGCTTTGATGTCTTCAAATTTATACATATTTTGAATCTCAGTAATAAAGGTATATAGGTAGCTGACTTCGTGAAGTTTAATAGATCTGTGGATTTTTTTAAAACATTAAATTCAACTTGAATAGTAAATTATTTTTCTTTATAAAAAGTAAACGTTCTTACCACTACAAGTATGTTGACTTAATGATTCAACAATAGTATCTAGTGCGTCGAAATTATCAACCTTGAATACTGATTCGTCAGTGGCTATCAGTTGCAGTTCTCTGTCTGCTGGTTCGTTTCCAACACCAATAGCTATGATATGTATACCAGATAACTTTGCCAATCTGGCTTCGGAATCGGTTTTTGTTTGATTTTCTGAAATTCCATCTGTTATAACGACAATTAGTTTTTCAGCGAGTTCTCTACTTCCAAACTTTTTCGAAAACATCTTAGTGCGCCCATAATACAAGGCTTCCCCCGTATTTGTACCCCCTCCGACATAAGGAATTTCTAATATAGCCTCCTTTAATTTCTTTTTGTTCAGAAAAGAATTTAAATGGAAATTTGCATGAACCATATGCGTAAATGTCAAAATTCCTACTTGAACCTCGTTTTCACTAATTTCAAAATGGTCTACAACGTTCGCCACAAATTTCAGTTGTTGTTGAAATTGAGGTGGATGCATACTATAGGAAGAGTCAAGCATGAAAACTATGTCCGTCATTTGCCTTCTACAAACCACAGCTGAAAAAAAAATACTTTATTATTCATAGCCTATCCAGTGGTTACATAATTAATTAAGGGGTTTCCCTTCGCGAGGAAAGACTTATTGTTTTTCTAATTTATTTATTTTCTACATAAAACATTTGAATGTTAAAATAGTTTGTTATATCGAGCCACTGGTCTTAAGTCAGGAGTCTTTAACTTAGTGGTTGTTGTTTTTTGATGTATTTTATATTTTTTTTTCGTTTATTGTTTTGTACATAAATCAGGCCGTTAGTTTTCTCGTTGGAATTGTTTAACATTTGTCATTTCGGGGACGTTTATAACTTGCTATATGCGGCATAGGTTTTACTCATTTTAGAAGTACGCACGTTGACCTATAGTTATTAACTTCCAAGTCATTTGGCCGCTGCTGGAGCGTTGTCTTACTGGCAATCATACCACATTTTTTTTGTTTTGATATTATTCCATTGGTATGTATAGTGAAAAAAGTGTAATAATTGGGTGAAAGTTTGTTCTGAGATTAGCCAGTAAAAACCAATATCAAATAAATGACTAAAACGCAAATAGCGTATAATACTCAGGTTTTACATTTGACAATTCGTGTTTCCCCTTTTATAGTAGTATCAGTAAAACAAAGTATTTTTCAAAAAGTCAAGTCTTAATAAACATGTGTAACCCTTTCAAATACTTTTAGCAAGTATTGGTATTTCCCCTATTGCTGAAGAACGCCGTCAAACGTATATAAACACTTCTTCCTTTTCATCTCCGATATTTGCCCGCCTGATTAATTCTCCCCTTTTTACTGTAGATGAAGATGATTTTTAAAATGAAAACTTTAACAGTCATATATTAAAAGGAAATAACATGTAAATTGTCACTTCTACGCACATGACTAAATTATAAAATTAATTGAAATAGTTTATAATATTTTTGCAGGTAAAACGTGGATGTGTGTTCCTCGTGTTATATTACACTTGTAACATTATCTACTGTTTCGTCAATTGTGGTTTTAATAGAAAATTGAAAATCAGTAAAAGCAGGAACAAGCAGATACTGTGTATTGTAGGTCGATGGGTTCTTTAAAAATACCTGGGCGATTAAGCCAAACAAAACATGCATGTGTTTAGAATTTCCTCGTTTTGATTAAAGGGTAGGTATATAGGATTTATTTATTTTGCTCAATTTTTTAGCCTTGAGTATATGAAGACCACCAATTCACGATTCACTATTGGTCCCAATAAAAAAATCTTTAGAGAAAGCATTTTGAAGTATAAGAAAAAAGGGTAGGTATGAAAACACAACTATTTGTTCTCGTAGCCTTAGCTTTGTGGTATAACAGACCTGTATTAATTTTTCACTTTGTCATGACACTTATTCTATTTTTGAAACAATGTAACGTATTTACAACGTACCTTTAATCCCTCGGAGGTGAAATATCTGCAAAAGGAATAAAATAAGATTTACAATGCGGTTATCAATTAGGTTAGAAATGATTCAGTGGGCTACCAACAAAGTGTTTTGTGGATAAACCCCAGGTAGTATTTCTGTTTAAATAAGCTGATAACGAGATGTTCTTGAGACGCCGATACTTCAATCGATAACAGTAACTAAGACTTAAGGTGACATGTAACCTGCTATGAATTTGTTTTTAGTTTTAAAAATATTTCCTTCTTTCAATTTCCTTTTTAAAAATTGTATTTTAGAAAATTTTGAATAGTTGCCCATTATATACACTCACTATTCAGTCGTAAACTATTAAATAAACAGCTAAAAGACTTAGGAAATTGAAACAAACACTTTGCAAAATCTCATAAACAGTTGAAAGCACAAAACGTTTAACTTAGCAATATTGTCTGACAACGTATTGTCCTGAACATGCGTGAAATATCTGCCACTGGACGTTAAACAAACATCAATCTATCAATCTTATAACGTATGATACGGACTTAGTGCACACACCACGTTCTGAAATTACATTCATTAGATTCTCCCAAAAATAAATGTTTAGTAGCCATAAACAATGTACATAAAATGTCCACGAACATCAAATCCAATGAGCCTTCATAGCACAACAAAACCGTCATGGGTCATTTGTCTTAGGGGTTGCTTCCTTTTTTTTATTGTTTCAGTACAATTTCATAATTTTAAAAGTGAAAGTTTTGTAAAATGAAACAATGTATTATATAAATAACGCCAAAACCGAAATAATTAATACAAGGTAAAAAGTACAATTGGGGACTGACACTCGAACCGTAGCGGTACCAACCTATTTAGAGTATTAATTTTAATAATTGATAATATTTCATTTACTTTGTACGGTAAAAACGAACATAATGTGATGTATACAAAGATGCCAGATTATTCTGTCAACAATTTACCAACGTTAGGGTCAACAGCTTACATTGAAACGACAATCTTTTGTTTTTCTCTAGCAATCATTTCAGTGCAATCTTTCAGCAAGATACATCATGTACCCATGACTGGGCATGTAAAAATGCATTTTCAAAGATATGGCTTGGCATGAGTATTACAACTAGTCATTTGCAACATGACATTTCAAGTTTAGATGTGTGAATATTTTACAACTGCAGAATGACAAGGGCAAAAAGCATATAGGTTAAAGTTCTACTATGCAAACGAATCAGAATATGTCTGAATAGTCATAAAAAAATTTAAACAATTATTGGTTTAACTGCAAAATGTTTTGAATTGTCTAATACAAGTAAGTTATCCAAATAATGTTTACACAAAAGTCAGTATATAATACATAGTTCCCCAAATTTGAATAATAAGATAAGTTTCGCTAAGTGACTTTACTACAGTAACATTGAATGAGCAATACATGTGTATGCGAACAATTTTTGTTTTCCATTTATCTAATTTCTAAGGCAAAACAAATATTATCTTTTACATTTTTGCTTACGAAAACAATCGAGTACTCGATATAATGTCTTCAGTCGTTTCTTATACTTGTAATATTCACAAGCAGATAACTTAAAGTCATAATAATTTATACTGAACTTGTAGCTATTTCAGTTACGCTTTTAATATCGAATATCGGTTAAATGACATAAATATTTACTTACATGCAAATAAATAATAATTATATGCAATATTTTAGAAATGTATTCCATGTTACTGTGTTTGTCGCACATGTATATTTGATAATAATCAACTACTGAATCGGTGTTTTATTTATAAACACACGTGGGGGCAGATAATGTTTTACTCGAATGAACTAACCTAGAATGACATAAGCGGCCTCTGGAGACATCAGCCGTTAGCGCTGACATCAAATTTCTACCGAATTAGGAAGTATTTAAGACATGTTGTGTTTTTTTAATTGAAACGAGTTGGGAAGTGACTCTCGAATTAATGAACAGGATTAATGTGTTTATGATACACAGGAATGTCAATTGTATGTTTTTTTACTTGTATGATATAATTCATGTAAGAAGGTTAACCTTTAATCTTCTTGAATTACTCAGGATAAATATTTACCTACCAGAAAAAAAGTAGTATGAAATTGAATTTGGTTCTTTATATTCATGAATCATTTGTAAAATGGGAAATATTTTAAAATAAAGATATATGGAAATGAATTTACGCCATTATACAAATGAATGCCAGCAACTTTCAACCCCTTGTCATACAAAATCAAATCCTACTGACAGCCCTACGTACTAAACTTTTGTTTACTATTTCCAGTTACAGTTCAAACTAATTAGACTTTCCTCTTGTGTACCAACTTACCAGGAAAAATATGTAACAGTAGGTCATTCAAAGATAATACACTCTGCCGTAATTTTCATCCCTTTTCATGCTTGAAATATTTGCCACTTGACAATCTGTCTTTGTATAAAATTTCACATATTAAAAAGAAAACGTTTTAATGCATAATACAAGAGATTCTATGCAGTCAAATATTTGTAAGCATCATAAATCATAGTATATATAAATAAAACAAAAATATGTACGCCAGTGAGATGAGATCTACAACAAAATCAGAAAGGACATTCAGATATCCGTATACCGATTTCGTTATAAAACATATGTCAAACGTTAAATCGCAAAGAGTTGAGAATACTCATTGAACAAATTTAATAGGTAATACAGAGGATCAGCCTTAAACTACAAGATGCATAAAAGACAAACACAAAAAAGATTTAAATAAGGACAACCTCTAACGAAATTCTGTAACAGGGTTTAAGTAGGTTTTTTTTTACAGTTATAAACCTTCTTTCTTTTTCATTTAGATCTCTTGAAAAAAAGGGAGGGAAAGACGTTCAATATACATGGCCATTTGGTATTCTAAAAATATAAAGAAATCTTTTTTCAGTGAGTAGATACAAGTAGTTAAGGAACGCACTCGGGCATCTTGGTCACTCTTTCTTCCGATAAACTCTAAATCAATTAATTAATTGCTTTAACTGAAAACTACGTATTGTTACCTAACAACATATTACCAAAGAAAAAGGTGTTATGACAAAGTTTCTTACATAAGTGAAATAATATTGTGTGTTTTCTTTCTGATTTTGTCTTTACTGGCAGTGTCCATACCTTCCTGTCAACTACACTTAGTAAATGTTGGTAACTAAATAGAAAGGTATAGTCTTTTTGCACTAAAAATGTTACATATTTTAGTATAGGCTGACATTCAAAAGTCAACATTTTATCAAAAGCACCAGAACAAAGCACTGAAAATACTCTTCACTTTATCAAAATTATTTGTAAATCGTTTTAAAGTTCAATATGGTTATTGTATTTGTTTTTCTACAGAATGATCTCAACTTTCACCATTATCTGAGTTTGTTGACGAAAAAAAATCAAACATAACTACGTCAAAAGCAACATATATCTCGATTGTTTGTTCGAGGGTTGAAATATCTTTAGTAAAGACATAGTTTACACATTGGAATTTCTGTGGGTTAAACTGTACTTTCTATAAGATATACGAGTGCAATAACACTACTTAAACATTTTATACTTCAAAATTATGGACAGAGGAGATTTCATCAGGAAAGTGTTACTGTCTTTTCACATTTATATTTTCAGCAAATTTCAATATCAACATCATATAAAAGATACATTCAAATACAAATAATATGATTGCCCTTACAGTTTTACTCTTAAATGGCGCGCGTTAAATTCCTTCAGAATAATACAAAATCATAACAAAGTCACATAGAGTCAACATCACTTTAGAGTTTATGTCATAATGAGCGAGTGTTCAATTAGATAATGTGGAAAATTGGATTTCAACACCGAAATTCGTACTTTTGATTTTGTAGAATGAAATTTAATGCACGCTGTTTCTTCTAAGTACGCAGTGCAATCAAGATGCAAGACTTAACACTTGTCTTCTCAAGTTCAGAATACTTGTAATATGTGCAGGTAGGTTGACATGTGCACTGAAAGCATGTTAGCAAGTTTGTGTAAAAACGTATAGTATATGTTCCGCATCTCACATTTCTAGAAATAAAACGGTTTAAAGAGTGAACTCTGGACGAACAAAATTCAGCCATCAATGTCAAACAGTATTGCAATATATCGACATATTACAGAACTCCATGGGGGTCTACAATACCACTGCTAATTTAATGTAATGTTAAATTGCTTGCACATTATTTAGAGATTAATTTAAAACATTTTAAAGTGGAACCGAAATGAAGTACACAGGTATGTCACTTTTTAAGGTGAGAATCTAATAAGCAAAAATGAATTGCTATGGTAATGGTTGTATTTTCCCATAGGAAATAGTTACAAAATTTTTTCATTTTTTTAAATGAAAAGTATTTAAATAAATAACTATGATTCCCGTTTAAAATGGAAAATGACCTGCTACTCTTACACTTATAGATTCAGTATTGATACTATGAAAACCATGTTGATAGTATTCATAGAAGTATTGCAAATAGCAACGCTACTATATTGTATGAAAACATGAGTAATAATACAAGAATAATGAAAAGTCAAAAATGAATCTCCAAAAGGTAGACTAAGAAATAGCATGGGTCCTTATCTTTAATAAATGGTATAAATTATTACAATACATATCTTTCAAATAAATTCTTAGTCACTTTGGATTTGGGCCAAGAATTGTTATTTGGACAAGAAAGATACGAGGAAATACACTTCTACTGAATCAGAGAACATTTTTGAATTTCATGATTCATCGAATTAAGTACAAACAAGTAATGATAAAATGTTCTATTCTTGTTTAAAACCTTTGTTGTCAATAATTACATATCAAAACTACTAAAGGAAGAGACCGATTTCATTGAGCCACAACTCCTCTGAAACCATACAAAGTCGGAAATATTTGTGATATGACGTATAAATGTAGTGTTTTGTACTTCCTAAATTTGTCTTTGAAACAATCTTTTTTCCACAGAAAACGCCAATTTTTGAGAAAATATCCAAATTCGGAGACCGTTATCGATCCGTGTCTTATACGCTTTCGCGCATGCTCAGTCGACGTACTGCCCGCGAAATTAAAAAACTCTTTGTTTCAACACTTGCCCAATTGTACCGCGATTTCGCGGACATCTTCTAGTAATAATTACTTAAAGTTAGTCAATACTTTTTTACTCGTTTTTTTCGAAACAGGAGACTTGGTTTAAATGAAATTTTCAGAGAATCTCCATCAATCGGCATTGTTCACCTCTTATTTAGTTTTATCTAATTTTGATGTATTTTGGAATTTTCCATACCAAAACATTGAAATCTGTCATTATGCATGTCCTTTTCTTTTATCTGATAAAAAATATTTGGTGTTTTACACAAGTTTTGGGCTTTGCCACTTAGAAATAAAAACGTCCTTAAATATATAGTCTTGTTATAAGTGTGTATTATTTTTTATTGTAAACTTGTCTTGTGACTTTCTTTCGTTAAGCGTAGATGCTTGGTTATACAATCACCGATCGATTTCAAGACAAAACTCTCTATACAACTATGAGACCAAAAATATATAAGAGCTCGATCGAAAAGAATAAGTAACATCATATTTTCTTAAATTATAAATGTCATATTTGTATACATGTAAATTTAATATAAAAATAAAAAATACATGACACAGTATAATCACTATCCTGTCAACACTGAAGTTGTGAGTTCGAGTCCGAACATAATTTACTAGGATTGACAGTTTTCTGTCGAAGGTCGGCGGTGTTTTCCAGGTACTCCGGCTTAATTACTCCACCTACAAAGATGTAGCAAAGTGTGGTGGAAAGTAAAGTTAAACACTAATTCAATCAATCAATCAATCCAAGATAAAGGTATCAATCAGTAAATTTCGATCACATTTGGGGTAAAATTTCTTTTTAAGGGAAAATATAAATACATGTTAATTTTGTAGGACTGTCTTTGGTGCAAGATATCTGTTTCGATTCATGTGAGTGAAAGAAGATACGGGCTAAACCTATCATTGGTACTATTGTGCATATTATAATAATACAATCATTAATTTGGGTGTAAAACGTCGCCGATGTGCTAATTGTTATCTGGTTATACTATGCTTCCTAGGTGCGTTTGCACTATTTACGCAATCTTATTACAAGTACAGTTATGAGTACAGAATAATTACTTTTTATTTATTTGCCTTTCCTATTAAGGTAAATTAATTGCTTATTATGTAATAAGCATTAAGTTGTCAACCTACTTCATGTGAGATCTGATTTATCAGATTCCATACATCAGGAAAGGCACTTAAAAGTGCATATAATAATTATAGTACAAACTAAGTCGAAACTTTCGTTTTTTTTTACTGGTGGAAGCTTGCATTTGTTAATAATTGTATCACATATGACAAACAATGTGTATGTTACATTGTTGTAATCTCATCCTTCTTTTTGTTCATGAACAATTATTACAGAGGTTTAACATGAGTAATGCTACAATTGCCACTTTAAGACAATGAACTGCTAAACCCATGCTCCTCATCTTCCTAATTGATTTGACATTCCAATTGTATTTATTCAAGCAACTGATGAGTTTGTGATTTCCTCAAGACCGAATAGTCGGCCATACGTACTTTTCGTCTACATAAAGAAAAATTCAAACACAACTCTATAAGTAAATACAACTGACTTAAGTAATGATAAATGTTATTGGTGATATATGGTCATATATATACTCTGGGCCAAATGAGCAGCTTTGCTCAGATTATG